GGTGCCGAGCCCGGCGTGACGCGCAGCCTGGGCACGCCCGTGCGCGTGCTGGCCCCCGGCACCGGCCCCGACGACGTCCCCGGCCAGGGCGTCTTCGTCATGGACACGCCGGGCGTCTTCGTCCCCTACGTCGGCGACGCCGAGGCCATGCTCAAGCTCGCCCTCGTCGGCTGCGTGCGCGACGGCCTCGTCCCGCCCGCCATCCTAGCCGACTACCTGCTCTTCCACCTGAACCTACCCGCCCGCCGCCGCGACGAGCCCCGAGGCCACGCCCTCTACGCCCGCCTCTGCCCCGAGCCCACAAACGACGTCGACGTCTTCCTCGACCACGTCGCCCGCCGCACGGGGAAGCTTGGCCCCGGCGGCGTGCCCCTGCTCGACCAGGCCGCCGACTGGGTCGTCCAGCAGTGGCGCGGCGGCCACCTCGGCCGCTTCGTGCTCGACGACGTCACGGCCCAGTCCATCGACCTCGCCCGGAGCAACAGCCTGAACCCGCCGCGGAGCCTGAACCAGGCCCGGAGGCTCGAGAAGGAGCGCAGGAAGGAGAGGAGGGTCGAGGTCGCCAAGGCCAGGCAAGGTTAGGGCGTCTCCTGTTTCCACTCAACTTGTGTAGATTTTGCACCCATGAACCCCGCTTGCATCATGCTCTTTCAGGCAGTCTCAGGCATATCATGTGGTACTGCATATATATACCCGCTCAGCACGGCACACATCAAAAACAATCCTCCACATTTTGCAGTTCAAAAAGAGAAGGGCCCCTCAGGTGTGACTTCTCAAAAACGTCGATTTCGTCGACTTTAAACACTAAAGAAATATCGTAGCAAGGGACACACCGTGGCCAGACGCGCCAATAAGAAACGGGTGTAGAGCGGGATAGCTGATATCATACAGGACAAAAAGGACATGACTTGATCTGGGTCGAACCAACCAGATGTTGGTCTCTCGAGGTATGTAGGTTGGAAAGGAGAACACAACGCAACAAAAACGCCACACGCCCCTTATATCCAACACTGAAAGGAAAACAGAAGAGAACAAAATGCAATGCCCACATCCCTCATGAACAAGAGAGTTTTTGCGCCGTGCTGAAAAAGTGACTACCCCAGCCACGAACCCCAAAAACCGTGCCTGAAAAAAAGAGAATGAAAAAAAAGAACGCCGAGCCTCCCACACAACCAATCGACAACTCGGCTGCTGAAGGTGCCCCTCGTGTTATGACCTCGTCTCGACGCCGTATGTTGTGTGCCACGACTTGATCCTGTTTTTGATAAAGTCGAGCCTTGCGTGGATGTTCATGTCGTCATCCTTCTTTTTCCTGTCCTCTGGCGCCTCGCCATTCGTGATGGCAATCGTCGGCGCGTTGCCAGCCGCTCCTGGACCGACAACGACGTTTTTCAAAGGTGAGCCTCCATTCACTGGGGCTGCGCCGGCAGGGGGGGGAAGGGCAGGTGCGTCGTGGCCGTTGACCGACGCAGCCTTCTCCTTATCCGCCTCCTTGCTCTTGTCGCTTTCTTTCTCCGTCTCCTTGCTCTCGCTGCCCTTGTCCTGCGGCGCGGGGTCGCGTTCGACGCCAATATCCTGCTCAACCCTCTGCGCAAAGTCGGTCCAGTAGGCAATGCGCCGCTCCATATCAATCCAGGACATTTCTCTATCTTTGTCCTGTTTGGCGTGGCTTCGAGCGTTTCGTGGTCTCGAGTTAGCGTTGCCCGAACCTTGATCCGGAACATCGCGCGACTGCGATCTCCCCGGAGACCGGTCTCTGTCCTTGGTGTATTGGTTCCGACCCTTTTTCCGGGAGCCTTGCTTTTTCGCCTTCGATGCCGTGTTCTTCTCGGGTTTGTCTGGCGTTGGCTGCGGTGGTGAGATGTTCCGAGGAGGAGGGGGCGGTGGTATCTCGGACCGCACCACTACCCGCGTTACGAGTGGTGTTTCTTCTGATGGGTCAGAGTCTGTACAGACAGTCTCTATCAGCTTCGAAATCACTGGCTGGACGCACGCGGGTTCCACAAAGCCCGCCAGGTCCGTACCTTCGGCCCGTCGGCGCTCGGCCCGGCTCTTGCGCTTGTTCGCGGCCTCGACCTTCTGCTTCTCGCGCTCCTCCTTCTCCGTCTTCTCCCGCTGGTTGCGCACGACCGCGATGCGAGTTTTGTTCTTGTTTGACCCGTTCCGTACCGGCGCCTCATCCGAATCGTCCTGTATAGCCGATTCATCTGCTGGTGAGGGTGATCTTGAACTCGTCCGCTGGCGCTTGGTGGCCTCGGGTTTCCTAATTTGGTCGCGGTTAGCCAACACCGCCGAGACATCCAGGCAAATAACAGGCACGAAACTCACTCTTCACTGTTACTGCGGCCTCTCTTGGGTCTTCTAGCCCCCGCCGCCTCTTGCTCATCCGGAGGCGCATCTTCTTTGCTAGCCTCGATGGCTCGTCGCAGCTCTTCCTCCTCGTCATAGACGCCTCGGCTATTTAGAGTCGACCGCCGCTTGGAGCTCGCCAGCGCGGGCGCTGATTTGCCACTTCTCGCCTCTCTTGGTTTGGGAGACTTGGCGCCTTCCTTTTCTCTAGGAGCCGTCTGCCGCGAGGTTGACCGGGATTGACGGCTGACTGGGAGGTAGTGAGAGTATCGTTGGCTGTGAAAAAAAAGATGGCAGGAAAACATTAGCGACCGGCTCAATGGTGTCGGCGTGAAGGAGAAGGGTACCCGAATGCATGGCTATAGCAAATATTTGTGCGAGCGGCGAGAGGCATCGAGACGCCAGGATGGCAAGAGAACAGGTTGAGTAGACACGTACCCATTGCTGGCTGTTGAGATCTTGTGTAGGTCCTTTCGGCACTCTTCGCAAAAATACTCCTCGGGACTGGACGCGGCATTCAAGATGCCGACGCAGCCGCCGTGTTGCCAGACCTTGCAAACATCGCACTGCAGGAAAAAGCCGGCGACCTCGTCCGGGACATCGGCAGCCAAGAACGGATCGATATCGACGGCGTCCTTGGAGGGGTTCTTAGGATCGTCTTTGAGCACAGGAGGCCCGGGGTATTCGTCGAAGCCACAAATGCAGCGGACGGACTCGTCATCGTCCTGCATATCGTTTTCGCTCGAGGCCATGTCGGCGCTATCGGCACTGGGAGCGGTGGCCCTGTCTCGGTCGCTGTTGTTGCCGTCCCTGGCGCGGCTCCGCAGGGTGCGCACGACGGTCTCGGTGCCGTTCACGCTCGCGTCGTCGGGCGGCTCCGAGGCGGTGGTGGAGGGGGCGGGCGTGGTCAGCTGGGGGGAGGAGGTTTTGTTGGTTGAGGATCTGGAAGTCCGCTCAGCGCGTCCTGAGGTGCTCGACGAGCTGGATGGCGCTTGTGGTTGTGATTGGGCTGTTCGCGCTCGAGACGATCTTCTCGTGTCGGGTTCGCCCATTGCTTGTAGCCCGAGCCGCCAACTGATTGGAGCAGAGAGAGGCTCCAGGGCAAAGGAAAAGGGCGCGGATGGACTCCCAGGGTGCCGGGGAGACGAGGCTCAGAGGCCCAAGGCGACCGCGGCAAGGCCCGAAGAAGGGAATTGGGGGAGTAGTGAGGCCGAGAGAGCAGATCGGCTTCGGGGTGGGCGAAAGGGTTGGTTTCTAATGCGACGCTGAGGACGGATGGCTGGAACTGGCACTGGTGAGGATCTGGGGCGCGAGACGACCAGAAACCATGACTGGCACAGAAACAAAAAAAAAAGCAAAGGTGCGATTGGCAGTAAACGGGACTCTGCAGTGTGCGGCGGGAGTAGCAGAGCTGGGTGGTGAGGCGGGCCAACGAGGGTTGAGGAGGAGTCGACTGTTGGGGAGAAGAGCAGCCCATACTTGGGGGAAAACAGCGTGCGCGCGGGAGCTGGTAGATGGCGCCGCCGGTTTTCCTTGTCCATGCGGGGCCTGCTGGATTTCCTGCTGAGCCCAGCACGAAGGCCGCCAGCCAATTCGGGGGCAGGGGTATTTTTTTTCCCTTTCTTTTGGTTTGGAAATTCGGCAGCTTCCTCAGGGCAGGCGCCGCTGGAGCTGGCCGAAAGTGGGCCCACGTGTCGCGACTGACTGAAGGCGCAGCGTGTGGTTGGCTCATGTAGAGGTAGCCAGTACAAGGCACAGTATGCGAACCCAGGGTAATTTGAGGTCGCCTGCACTTTGTTGGAGAGGCGCATTGGAAAGCGGGGATTGAGTGCCCAGCCGCAGGCACAGAAAGCGGGCGCAAGTCGTCGTCCATCTTATCAGTCGTCCGCTTTTGGGCAATTCCGCTCTCCAGCGAGGCAGGCGTCAAGGGCAGATGGCAGACCAGGCCGGTGACGGTAGATGCGGTTCGCAGCTGCCGAGGAGCGGCAATAAACGGCTCTGGAGAGCAGCGACGGGAGAATGCAGTGCGAGCACGAGCGAGCCGGGTCCGGTGTATGCATCGGGTGCTGGTGGTGTATGCGGGCTAGAGCTCGGCCTCCATGGCGTTGAAAAGCGCTTCAGCCATAATTAGATGCTGCAGATGATTTTGTTTTGTGATCTGCTCGATGGGGGCGGGCGGAGCAACTTGACAGGTCTGGTCAGAGTGGGCATGGAAGGTTGCCTTGGAGGGGACGGCGGGAGTCTGAAAAAGCACAAAGTTGAGCTCATCAAAAACACACCATTTCCTGGCACGGCTGCCCGGGGCGGCATCTGCTCCGACGGGCGGCATCCCAGACTCCCTTTCATGGAATCTCGGCGAGATGGAGGGGCGGTTCGTCTGAAACTGGCGACAGCACAGCATAGAACATCATAGCTAGGGCGTCCACGATGCGGGTACGGGAACCATCGTTGGCTTGCTTGCTTGCCTGCTTACTGGCAGTGCTTGCGTCTAGTGCTCTCGCGCCGCATCGAGGCGGGCACTGTGTCCTGCACCAGCACCAGCATGGCGAGCACATAGTGATGGATATATGCATGGATATTTAAGTGCCGTGGCCCTTTCGTGCAGTGCGTGGTGGGACTGGGGCTGACACGGAGGGGCACATTGATTATGTTGATTTCAGGTCCGCTTCCATCCGCGGGCAGTGAGCCCTGTCAGAGGCACAGCCAACGAAATAGCACGAGTTACACGGGCAGGCACGAGGCACGTAGCAGGCTAGGCCCAAGCAATTGCAATTGCTCCAGAGGTTGACACGGGAGCGTCGGGCTGGTGGAAGCACGCAACACCGAGATTATGTAATTTGCAGCTGGCCGATCGGGTTCCATCATGACTGTCGGCACCAGACGAAGCCCAGCGTCTGTGCCTGTGTTCTTGTCCCAGTGGCTGGGCCGCTCAGCGGACACAGTCTTGGGCCACAGGCCTGGCCCGCTGAGTGGTAGGTGCATGTTCAATCACCTCCTAAGCCGCACCCGCACAGTCCATTGGCAAGCTGCAATCAATCAAACACCTCACACCCACCTACGATCATCTTTCTTCCTTCACCTTCCTCCCCGACCTCTTTGTTCCCCCCTCTGCGCCCGCCATTATCCGTACCGTCTTGGCCCCGACACCTGTCTGTGCTGCCATTGCTGCCGCGTTTTGCTGCCCCGACTTGCTCCGCTAGACGACGTCCATCAGCAGCTGCCGGTTCCCCGCTCGCGGTCCTGCCGAGCCCTCCCGAAGCTACCGTAGGTTTATTCTGGTCTCTGCAAAACTCGAGCCCAGGCTGGTGCAGGCGCAGGGCGTCCTGGAAGGAAGCAACGGCGGCGACGAGCTTGGCCAGAGCTCTTTCCCAGCTCTACGTGCCGCAAGCAGGGAGAAAGTGAGCCAGCACACATCCATTGTCTTTAACTCGGCTTGTGGTGGCGTGGATCTGGACTGGGACTGGACTGGAACCCGCAAACCCCACGTGGGTATGAGCAAAGGCGACTGGGAAGCAGGAGCAGAACGCAGCCGCGCAAGAGCAGGGAAAACAACGGGAAAGATCTCGCATATGCCATCCGCATCAGACAGCCTGGAATCTGCTTCTGCCCTAGCTACCTTCCTCGGCGTGCCGCCAAGTCACCAGCAAGCCGCCTTCTAGCGCAGCAAATCGGTGACGTCTTGGGCCGTGTGGGCTTCGAAATTGGTGGCTAACGCTGTGGTTTTCTCTTTCCCAGCCAGAACACGAGTGGGCGAGGTGGCTCCAGCACACGGGGCGCCCTGAGCCCTCTGCAACCACCCCTATCGGTCGCACGCCGCACCCCGGCCGCTGCTCCTTCCTCGTCCTCGCTGCCTTGCCGACTTCTCCAGCATATCTACCTGCCAACCACCCGGATATCTCGAGCCACTGCTTTCCGTTCGATTCCGCATGAAGCCCTCCTAACAGCCCCGCACCTCCTGTCGACAACTCTGCACGGCCGACCACCTGCGATTCGCCCCTCCTGTCCGCCGACTGCTGCTGCTCACTGTCTTGTCCGATCTGTTTTGTTGTCTTTCTTGGGAAGCCTGAGGAATCGGGATGTACGATGGGTATGCCACATCCGTCCCTTCTCAAACAGCACCTGCCATTCTCCTAGACTTGCTTGCCCCCGCCCCCGCCCGGCCTTCTCCTTTCGCCCTCCCTTGGCTGAGAGCCCGCTTACCTGCTAGCCCTTCGTCTCGTGCCTTCCCGCTCGCCGCCGCCGCCGCCGCCTGGCGTCCACGATAAAGACGGGGCGTTTCGAGCACCCGATCGCCTCCACATGGAGCCAGGGAGGATGTCGGGCTCTCCGTGGACCGAGAATCTGGCTTGCAGCAGAGCGCCCAAGGGACTCGCGCCAGACCGGAGCGGCGAAGTCGTCCTCTGCACTCTGGCCCTAGTCGCCGTGCTTTCATACGCCGCGTTTCTCGTGCTGACTCCGCCGTCACCCGCACGCCTAGCACGATATAGCGAAAGCATGTCACCAGAAACCATATCATCCATGTTCCCTGACCGGCCCATCCACCCCCTCCCAAAGCGGCGGTTGCGTGAGCGCCTGTCGCCCGAGGCTGCCGAATCCATCGAGTACCCGCCCACCCCGCCAGCCACTGTCTTCTACTACCCATACAACTCAGCCAAGGACGACGACTCGGACGCCCACAAAGCCAGCAGCCGCGTCAGGGGGGCGGCGAACGGTGGGCTGGCCCGCGGCCTGGAGAGCGAGGAGGAAGACCCATCTAGGGTCCGAAGGAGCCTTGTGCCCCGGTCGGCGCCGAGCATACTTGGTCGCCCTTTGCGGGCCTCGCCAAAGGCAGGCCAGACGAGGCAAGGTCACGCCCAGGCTCCGCCGTCGGCGGCGTCGTCTGTCGACGGCTACGATACCTTTGAGAACACCAACAATAAGAAGAAGCGGAAGGTTCCAGACACGGCACTCGGCGGGCATTCGCTAAACGACCTGAGTGTCGGCTCCGGCCAGATGTCGCCCTCGACGCCGTCCCGCGCCGTCCATGGCGAAACCTGTGGCGCCAACTGCAGCTCCTTCCACGGGATGGGTTCTAGCAGCCCGGGGCTATCTGGGCCGGGCAGGGGCAGGTTCGGACGCAACAGAAGCGGCAGAAGCCCGCTTTCTGAGGGCAGCAGAAACAGCAAGGTCCGGCCGGTTCGCTGGCCGCTTTCTGGTAAGTTTATGCACAGCTTTTTACCATTACCGTCAATGATTGCACGTCGTTGTTTCTCGCGCTGTCCGTTTCGCGATGCCTCCACGCGTTGCTGTCGACCCTACATGCGGGTGGCTTCCTTGTTGCCCGCAGGGACCGCTTGCCATTGTCTGCCCCGTGGCTTTCTGCCGAGGAATTACCTCTCGGTGGCAGCAAAGTAACCTGTCTTGTTTTAACCGCAGTGCCGAATCCAGGCATCATTTCTAACGCCATTGCCAAAGTCGAGAAAATACCCTCGCAACAAGGTCAGGAAAACGTCAGCTTGCTGCAGATGCAGCAGGACCCCAAATCGAGCACAGTGTCTGGCCAGTTCACCTTCACTTGCGACACGCAAGTTCCTGGCACCATAAGCTGGCCAGGCTCTCTGGCCAAGGCGCCGGGTATGGCCTCGCACGGCGCCTCGGCTAGCGGCCATACGACCTCGAAGCCGACGAAACCTGCGTGGCCTGGCGGGACGGCGCACGGAGGGCCATCTGGCCCCTCGGGCGGCCCCAGACCGGGAGGGGTAGCACCGCAGGCCACCACTCAGAAGAAGACGCGGCGCCGGTCAAGAGTGGACGAGTACGCCAAGGCGGCGGCGGAGCGGAAGCGGTCGACGCAGGTCCAGAATCTGCACCATCCGCCAAAGGAGGAGGAGATGTGGATATGCCACTTTTGCGAGTACGAGTACATATTTGGCGAGAAGCCCGAGGCGCTTATCCGCCAGTATGAAATCAAGGACCGCAAGAAGCGGAAGGAAGAGGAGGAACGCCGACGTCTTCTCGAGAAGGCTAAGGCTAGGGGCCGCAAGGGTAAAAAGGGGGCGAAGGCCCCTGCCAGAACTTCCGGGGCCGGCCAGGATCGCGGCCATGCACCCGACCAGCAGGGCCACGGGCATGAACATTCTCAGGGCCACGACCAGGACTACGAGGGCCAGCGTACGACGCCGATCCCCGACGACGATGGCGAAAGCCAGGGCAACAAGAGTAGCAATGACGTGGGTGAGGAGTTTGAGGGCGACGGGGCGGCAGGCGACGGACTGGGCCAAGCAAAACCTCCAGACACTTCGACAGGCAGGAGATTTGGAACGAGGGCCGGCAGGGTGGGGAGCACTAGCGGTGCCGGCGGCGGCGGCCCTAGCATGGTCGGACGGCCTGTCAAAGTCTAATGCGAAGGGCGAGACCGTCAAGGGCGTGGGATCGATGGCTACCCAGGGATCTACCCGGAGATGCAATCTCGGACCGCGTACCATGCGGTACGTCACGTCACGAGGCGAGTGGGTGACAACTTGACGGTCATGAGCCGAGCGATGGGTTCTGTTTGCTGCGCCGAAATGTTGCCGCAAGGAGAAATTACTCGCCCAGCCTTGTTCCCTTCCGCAGCCTTACGAAACTTGCCGCAATTCAGCGGGAAGGCCATGCTTGCATGCTCCGGCTGCATGCAAACTGTCTTATCTTCTTGCTCCTCGACAGCCTCGCCAAGGTCGGCGCAGCCAAGTCGGGAGCTGCAAGCAGGGAGAATGGGCAGTGGGGATGCTGGCTTCTGATGCGGCGGCTGGGCCTCAGTCTGGGCTTGGGCGTAGTTGACGACAGGTTGCCAACATACTCTCTGACCATTTCTCTCTTTTAACTCGATCTGAATTTCCACCCACAAAGCCTCCGTAAACATCACCACTCTTGTATCCAACGGACCTGTACCACTACTGCTGGCATAAAGATGCCAACGTGGGAGCAGCCATCTGTCAGACTGAACTTTTGCGAGGATGGGGAAAGGAGACGTGGTTTTTTCTTAGTTCTTGGCTTGGCCCCGAGCAACAGTGCACACCCACACACCATGTTAGCCCTGCCCCTGTCCATCACCTTTACACTACCCACATCCCCAGACGCGTACACATGCACAAAACCACCCTATTTCATACCCACAAACCAACTGACGTCCAGCGGGACGCTGCGTCTTTCGAGGCGGTGCCAAATATGTAGAGTTTTGTCCTAGCCGGCGATCTCGCCACACTGCCAAGGCCCCCAGCGTTGCGCAAGTATCCTGTCAAGCTTCACCATGTTTTAGTCAACCCGCAGGGCGCCCAGCCTCGATGCCGGGATTCCTCAGAATAGAGCCTATAACGTGTCCGCAGAACCAGCCAGCCAGCCCTCCGCGAGCCCGCCGAAGTGTGAAAACCTAAAATGAGACGGATTCCCGTCCATGACGCAGACGAGGCGAGTCCGCCCGTCCGAAATATAGTAGATTCCGTCTCATGGTGCCTGAGTTGCTGCGTCAAGGCAGCCTAAGCGCCGGGCCACATGACTTTGCGCCATGCGAACGGTAGGATCCCGGCTTTGTGGGGAGGAGATGTGACCGAGATATAGGGACAGGTGTGTGCATCTCTTGCTCGAAGCCCATGTATGGCATTGTTTGTATGGCATAGCGTGGCCCCGTTGTTTCCGTTTCGCTTCAGTCAACCCGTTTCCTGACCCGTGAGGCTCGTAGACGGCTCCTCCCGCCGTAACATCGCTCCATGCCGAATGTCCCCTCCACACTACACCCAGATGGGCTCGGGAAGGGGGCTGACGCCGTGCCCCGTCAGCACAGCCGCGAAGTGACGCCGGTGCACGGCCGGGGGTCCTTGAGAGATTAGGTTGCCCATCCGTCCATGACGGGCCGTCTGTACTGTGTTTGGACCACTGACTAAGGCGAGGCAGTTTAGATATAACAAACTGACGCCGCGGGCATTTCCCCTTATACGCGCCCATCCCTCACCCCAATTTAACCTAACACGTAGGCCGTCGCCGCGTTTCAAGAACTTCCCTACAGGCAGACGGCTGACCCCCCTCCCCGCCACCCGTGCCCAGCCTTGCTCCTCCCCCATGGACGGCGACGGCGGATCACGGCACCGCCCCTCTCCCCCACCTATGTTTTGCTTCCCTCCCGCCTGTTCTCTGTTCCCTCCTCTTGGCCTCTTTTTTTTGTTCCCTGGTCTTCTGCCGAGACCGACGTGGACACATATGCTGGTCCAATGTGTGGGCGGTGACGATGATGCCGTCTCTAGATGCTGCCGGGTTCTAGATCTTGCCAAGCCTATCCTCGTCGGGTCCAAAGGGTGGCCGGCCACTTCTGCTCTCAAACTTGCCTCGACCCGCAGTGCCAGGGAAGTGGGATGTGTGGCTTTGCATGCCAAGGTTTCTCTTGGGGCCAGACATTACACATTTCCAAGTAGAAGGGACACAGCAAAGAGCGCGCGCATACGCATTCCTAAACTTGATATCACACAGCCACTAACACTAACACACTCCAAGCCGTGGGGGTCTCTTCTCTCCCACAGCTGCGAGTCTGCGAGTCAACATGGGAAGGGGACAGAGCCGGGTATCCCGAGTGACCGGCCCTAGCTGGCTACAATGAATCGAAAACGCCCTTGGTATTGCGGGTAGCGGCAAGATAGATTTTTGAAGCCGAGGTAATTTTGCTCGACGTGCCCCGGCGGCTTGGTTCGCCTGGCTGGAGTCGATCCCGATGCTTGGTTCGTTGGCGTCTGGGTATATACCCAGGTATATATAAATAAGAGACCGTGGCCGTCGTGGCGATAGTGAGTGACGTGGAGGGAGGAGAGAAAGACATGGGCTAACTGGTCTTTTCCTTCTAGACTCTGCCGCTTGTCCTTTATCCGTTGGTCTTGTACCCGTGGCTCGTCTTGGTCCTGAGTCTTCCTTTTCTCTTTTCCTTCTCGCCTCCTCCTTCCTCTCCTTCTTTGACGTCATTATCAGACAGCCAGACCTTACCCCTTGGCGTCTTTCCGTCCGCCATGCCAACTGTCTATTAGAGGGCTTGATCTACCGTCAACCAAGTCAGAAGTGCCAGTATAGACATTGTGTCAACGACAATCGACTTACACACGACTTGTCCCTCATCACCTCGTCCGAGCACGCCGATATTCCACTATAACACAAAAAGTCACACAAAGCAAGAAACAAGATGCCGGCCACCGACGGCTCGTCCATGGCCCGCGGCCGGGGCACCGAACGGAACCCCCTCGTGGGCGGCGGCGGAGGAGGGAGTTACGGAGCCACGACAAACAACCGCAGCAGCAACAACGACAACGGCAGCGGCCAAGACTACGGCCGGCGACGGCACCGGGCGGTCGGGTTCACCGAGACACTCAGCCTGCGCGACAAGATGCGGCGGTGGTTCGCCAAGGGCGGCAGGCTGGAGCCGTTCCGGCTGCTCAAGCAAGACGCGCGCAACCTCCGGGGCCGGTGGCGCGGCGACTGGAGCTTCTTCAACCAGCTGGTGCTGGCCAGCGCCGTCTATGTCTTCTTCACCAACATCCTGCCGGGCATCACCTTCGCCAGCGGCCTGTACGCCCTCACGGGCCAGTCGTGGGGCACCGTCGAGGTCGTCTTCAGCACGGGGCTTTGCGGCGTTCATCTTCTCGCTCTTCTCGGCCCAGCCGCTCACCATCCTGGGCGTCACGGGCCCCTTTTCCGTCCTGGCCGAGAACCTGTACGAGCTGTCGGTGAAGTACTTCCACGTGCCCTTCCTCCCGCTCATGGCCTGGTCCCTCATATACGCCGGCTGGATGCACGTGCTGCTGGCCGTCTTCAACGCGCACGACTGGACCATGCAGTACGTGACCGAGTTCAGCTCCGACATCTTCTCGCTTCTCAACAGCGTCATCTACTTCCACAAGGCCTACAAGCAGCTCAGCCGCATCCACGCCGCCGTGCCCTTTGCGAGCTTCCTGTATTCCGTCCTCGGCGCCTTCGGCACCTGCTTCACCGCCGTCTTCCTCGCCACCGCCCACGGCTGGGCCCCGCCCTTCGGCCGCTTCGTCCGCACGGGGCTGACCGAGTACGCGGCCGCGCTGTCCATCATGCTCTGGATCGCGGTCCCTTACCTGGGCGAGCTCGGCTCGCTCGAGCACCACCGCCTGCCCGTGCAGTCGACCTCGTTCCGGCCCACGAACCCGGAGCGGGACTACTTCTTTGTCGAGTTCTGGAAGCTGCCCATCCAGTGGGTCGTGGTGGCCATCATACCCGGCGCCATCATCACAGTGCTCTACTACTTCGACCACGAGATCAGTCAGCTCCATCATCTGCACCATGCCGCGCTACGGCGTCAAGAAGCCGGGAGGCTCGCCTGGGACGTTGCCCTGCTCGGCATCACGACGGCCGCCTGCGGCATCATGGGCATCCCGCCCGCGAACGGCCTGCTGCCCCAGGCCCCGCTGCACTCCGAGTCGCTGCGCTACCTGACCGAGGAGAAGTACGAGCCGGAAGAGGGCGACGTCGACGCCTGGGCCTGCCGCGACGGCAAGCCCGAGGACGACGAGGAAGAGGACGATGGGGAGTTTGACGGGTCTGATGGTGTCGACAGCTTCGACCATGACCTCAACCGCAGCGCCACCGACGGTAGGGACGGCGCCGGCGACGCCGTCAGCGGCCGCAAGGGCCACGACAACCTCGCCGACCTGGAGAGGGACGCCGTCGTCACCACCAACGGCCGCGGTGGCGGGAGCAGCAATGGGCGCTCGTCCAACGGCCGCCGCAGGAGCGGCCACGCTTTAGGGAGACACGGCTGCTTTTGGGGCATGTGGCCTGGGTGGCATAGCTGAGCAAAAAGTCACATATGCCAGGGCGGTTCAGGGGCTTGGCATGGTGCATCAAGGAGTTGCATGTGCCTGATAGAGAGGATATACAAGAGGCCAACATCATGCAGCCCTGCATCTTTTCTTCTTGTTTTCCCTTTCTGTTGTGCCTTTTTCTTCTCTCCATCTTTCATCTTTTCCTTGTCCTTCTTCGTTACGTTCTCCTGGCATAGATTGATGGCAGTTGGGCGTTAGCTTGTTTCTTGCTGGGTTCACTGGTCTGTGCTTGCTCTCGGCAATTGGGTGACATGTATTCTTTGGCATCATAAATGGTTGGCAAGATTCAATGCACAAAAAAGGTCGGCTGTTAACATGGTATCATTTACTTGGTATCTCTTGGCTAAATTCGTGGCGATAGCCAGCCTTGGTGTGGCGCCCCGCCAGGATATGGAAGACAGAAAACGTTGTGATATGAGAAGGACTGCGAGACGAGAAGATAAGAGGTATAATAAATGGAGGGGGGAAACAGGTCGCTCATCCGCGCGCCAGCCCCTTGTCCGGTCAACCAGCCAACTGGCAAGAAGAAGAAAGATATAGTGTTAAGAATAATGGAACAAGGGAGAAACGGGGGCCCTCGAAAGGCGACGGAAACCACAAACGGAACCAACCCAACATCGTCATCCTGAATCGCAGCCATCCCGGCCGACTTATCCGCAGAAAACATGCGCCTATATACCTCCTGCACAATCATGACTTGCATCCCCTCCCCTCAGGTTCGCTATCCTGAAACATGTCAAGTCCCTGGCCAGTCATTGTCGCGTAGTGTTCAAAACCCTTGGTATTTTTCGCTCCTCGTCTCTTCCACTCATCTTGTCGGAAGCATAGCCAATCCGCCTCGGACTACTACCTCTCAACGTGGCCGTCGTTGAGCAGCAGCTCGAGCACAATCTGCTGCCCAGGCACCTCTGGATGCGACATGCAGATCTTGACGGTGCCCCTGGAGGCTTGCCCGGCGGCCCCGGCCCCCGGCCCGTAAGGCGCGGGCTGCTGTTGGTGAGGGGCGGGTCCCGCGCCGCCGCCAGGCCCGCTTGGGTTCATGCCCGTGGGGCCGCGGTAGCCGTAGTCGAGGCATCGCACGTCGCGGCCGGCGATGATCTGGCGCAGACGGCCGTTCTCGGCGTTGCGGGCTTCGACGTAGTCCTCGTTGAACAGCAGCAGGTACTGGCCAAACATGGTGGCCGAGTGCGCCTTCTTCTGCTTGCCCGAGTACTCCATGACCAGCGTGCGCGAGACCTCGCCGTGCTTGTCCATGTAGACTGCGCAGTCCTCGTAGGCCAACAGGAACTCCTGGTCGTTGAGCTTGAACATGCCCAGGGGCCTCTGGTCGCGGATGCGGTGCGCGATGCCCGCGATGGCCGGCGTCGTCAGGTCGCGTGGCACCGACATGGTCTGCTTCTTGTCCAGCGTCAGTAGCTCGAAGCCCTTGGCCGTCGCCACCGCGATGTAGGTCTGCAGTAGGTTGAGCGAGAAGCACTCGGTCGGCAGGTAGAACTCGTCAAAGTCCCTAAAGTACTCGGTGTTGCCCGAGCCGCCGCGCCGACCGCCAAACAGCCGCGTCTTCTTCTCTGTCGACTTCTGGAACACCGGCTCGAGCACCTTGAAGGTGTTATGCATGCCCTCCTTGCGCTTGAAAAAGACCAACATGCGGTCCTTCATGCGCGCCGTTGCGAAGAAGGACACGTCCTTGGCCAGCCGCACAGGCGCCCGCCGTGGGTTATCGTGCGCCGGCGCCGGGAAGCTGGACACGGGCGCCACCACGTCCAGCGGGTACGACACGAGCGACCGGTCCGCGATCAGCAGGCACACCGAGAACTCCTCGAGCACCGCCATCTGCGTCACCCGGCTGGCCTGAACCGACCGCGTCCATCCGCGCGGACTGTTTGCCTCAGAGATGTAGACGCCAAAGTCGGTTCCGATGGCCGTCACCGACTTGCCGAACGCTGTGAAGGACGCCGCGCAGTTGACCTGCGCCCGGCACACCGCAGACGGCCCCCGCCCCGGCCCGTACTCCTGCTCCATATCGCGGATCGCCCGGTCCAGCGGCGTGCCCCGGATCGGCACCCCGGCCGTCCTGCCCATGGCCGAGAGGGAGTCGTAAGCAAAAGCGCTATCCGCCAGCACCCGCAGCCGGAACGGCTCCGCGTTCTGGGCGTGCAAGCCCCGCGCGCTCTTGGTCTTGGCCTCGATGATCTTGTTGCACCACTCCTGCCGGTTCTGAGCCGACGTCGCGTACAGCGTGTACACCTCGTGGCCCAGGTGCTTGACCTTGAACGGATACAGGATATTTCCTGTATCGCCCAGCCCCGGCGTCCCCAGCCGCGATGCTGTGCTCAAAGAACCCACCGAAGACGTCGTGGCCGTGTGCTCCAGCGATGGTCGGTCGGTTCCGTTAGATGCTACCTTGCTCAGTTGCGTCCCGGACGTCGCCGCCGTCGTCCGCGCGAGGGGGGCCGTGATGCCTTTTTGCTTGGAAACCGGGTCGTCGTTCATGCTCTCGAGGAATAGCAGAGGCATGGGGATTGGCTGTGCATGGCTGCTGTTAGCGTATCGAGACTCCCTACGGGCACGTGCGTGCAAGAGATGGAGCCAGGTCTAAGGGGTAACAAACCTCTTTGGATACGTCGTATTTCTTCTCCGTCCTCCCATCCCTGCCCGACTGGATCACCTTGGCCAGGATGAAGTAGTGGTCAAACAAGAAGGCGTGCGTGTCTACCCAGCGCACGCCCTTGGAGCCCATCCTCTGCAGGTCTCCCGACATTTGCAGCTCGTGGGCCATGGCGCCGGCGGCGTCTAGTTGCAGATTGGACTGGAAGCCCGGGCGGAGTACCAGTGCCGACTGGAGCTCGACCAAATTGACCTTCTTGGTCATCTCGTCGACCAGCTTGTCGCACTCGAGCGTGACCAAGTGGATCTCCTCAATGGCCTTGGCAAGGTTGGCCTTCTCGTCGTCCTCCTTGGTCGAGTTTTTGAGCACCGTCGACAGCAGCAGGCCGTACCGCTGCAGCCGCGTGATGGGCGCCTTGAGGAAAGTGTCCCAGCCCAGACGTTCCGACCGCTTGTGGCTCCGGACATGGTCGAGGAATTGCCGGAATAGCAGGTTGCGCTCCGCCTCGCGGCGCACGTTATGAACCGCAAAGGGGTAAGCGGCCGAGAAGGCGATGTAGGGCTCCTTGGCCTTTCGGATCCACTCTCGGAAGATGTCGCTGAAGCCAGTGATCCAGGGGCCCTGCTCGTTCTGGCGGTATTTGAGCTGCGCCAGCAGGTTCTCCTTGTTCGTCTGCTGCACCGCGTCCGCGTGTCCGAAGACGCTGTGGATGAACTTGTCGCGTCGGCTGGGCGTGATGATGGGTGGCTCCCATGCCCGGAGCTGTTCTTTGTACAGCACTCGCAGCACCTCGAGCTGGTTCATATACTCCTCCTCGCTCTGCACGATCTCGTGCAGGATGTTCTGTCGCTCCGTCTCCTTCTTGGGCCGCTGCGCTACCTGCTCCGCCGTCACGTGGAACATCTCGGCCCAGCCCAGCTTCTTTGTCGACTCCTCCGACATGAGGTCGTCCAGGTTCGCCTTCTTGAGCGTCCTGGTGCAGTGGTGCGAGTAGCAGCGGCCCGGGATCTCGTCCTCGTGCAGCTTGGGCGAGTAGCATCCGCTACCTGTCAGCTGCCACAGCACACCCGAGATAGAGCCAGGCCCAAACTTGACCCATTCCTCCTCGCGCACCATTATGCCAGCCTCCAGCATCGAGCTGAAGGCGTCGGCTGCCAGCGTCTCGGCGTCTGCCACGTTCATCGTCGGCACCTTTGTGCTGAACAGCTTCACCAGGCCCTCCTCGATGGTCTTTTGCTTCAGGTCCGGCTCGCCCTCGGCCATCTCGCGGATCCAAGCCGCGATGCCGCTGAGGGCCCAAGGCTCCGCGCACCGCCGGATGTCGCCCGCACTCAACTTGGACGGAACGAACTTCTTACGCCGCCCACCAGCCGGTAGCGTGATGGTGTCGTATCCCATGGACGACGGCGTGCCCGTGTCGTAGCCGTCGTACGGGGTTCCGGCCCCCTGGGCGACCTGCTGCGCCATGTTCCGGTGGGCTTTCCTCCTCTCGTCTGCCGCGTCGGTACGCGAGCGCCCTGGCACCTGGACGTGAGGGGTCGTGCTGTGGTTCGATAGCGATATTGACCTTTCGACCTGCAGTTGCTGCTGCTGCTGCTGCTGTAGCTGAGCGCCGGGCAAGGTTGATGCGTCCGACCTCGAGTCAATGCTCTGCGAGTATCCGTGCTGTTGGTAGCCTGATCGCGTCGAGGGGCGGGCCGACACCATCGAGCTGCTGTCGGATCCGGGGGGGAGCGAGGGAAGCGGCCGATTGCTGAGACCAGGGTGGTAAAACATGTCTGGGTAGTCCTCGTCTTTGATGGGAGATTCGCTCCCACTCCTACCCGAGCGGATAGACACATGCTCGGCCCCATGGTCAAAGCTTCGTGACCTCGTCGGGGCCTGGAGTCCCCCAGTCCCGCCGTAGTCCATGTAGGCATTACTGTACTGAGACGCACCCGGCGTAGGTAGTGGCCGGCCGCCCTCGGGAGGCAGCGAGGCACTTTGGGGTGGAGATCCTATGTTGTTGTCGTAGGATAGCGTGCCGGCGTATCCGCCGCTGGCGAGGCCAAGGTCCATGACGAACCCGCCGTCACTTATGCTGAGATCCTCAGGCGGGGCAGGCAGCGGCGGCGGCGGCGTGACAGGGTCGTGCGGGCCCGAGTTTCCACCACTGAATCTACGGTCATCCATGAGCGCCTGCTGCATCTCGTAGACGCCAAAGGCGCCCTCCGGGTCGCTGTCTGTCTCGTAACGTCGCAGTCGGTTTCGGTCGTCATCTGACAGGTTGCCGTTGATGGGCTGCGGGCGGCGCGAGTGCGAGCGCGTCGTCGACTCGGAGCTTGCCAACTCGGCCAAGTCTCTATCTATCTCATCCATGAGGGTGTCCTGGGCTACCGAACCATCACTCTGAAAGCCCATGCCGCTGGGGTCCCAATCCTGTTGCTCCTCAGGCACATTCTCCATGGCTGGACGGCTGGGGAGTGGGGCATTGGTCGGGTGCCTCTGAAGAGCCGAGGGAGACAGCGGGGCATGCCCGGGCGGAGAGGGTAAGGGGGAGCCGTGGGAGTTGGTCCTGGCATGGCTGTATATGGCATCGCTCGCGTAGGCCGGCTCGGCCGGCATGATGTTCTGGACGGGGTAGGGAGTCTGCTGCGGTGCGCCGCCATGGTACGACGAAGCAGACTGCACGGAACCGTTGGTGTACGAGTTGAAGTAATTGTTGTTCGCTGACGAATAGCTGTTATTTGAATACGAAGACGGCGCGTCATAGGGCGTCATCGCCTGAGATGATATGGTCGAAGAGCTCGTCAATGTCCCGTACTGGGGGCTGGGGAGCGCGGGCGCATATGCCGACTGGGTGGATGAAAGACTCTGTTGACTGTATGTCGACGTCGAGGTCACGGGCGATGGCTGTATAGGGGCGGCAGGATTGTAGGAGGGGGTGTAGTTGCTGTAGCCAGCGTAGGTGGGATGCCGCTGGGGCACGCCGGCACTCGTCGCGGTGGTGCCAACATAGGCGGCAGGGTTATATGATTGTGGAGTGTAGTTGGCGGGCGACTGCGGGAGGTACGTGGGCGTGGTCGGGGTGTTGCCGAACCGGCCAGAGCTCGGGACTTGCGAGGTGCTCTGTGAGCGCCCAAAGCTGGACACGGGCTGCGAGGCGAACTGGGCGGGATTGTAGGTCGTCGGGGTCGGCGGGGTCTGGTACTGGTGCTGGTATCCAGCCATGCCGACGTTGATGGAGCCGTAGCTGCCTGGTCTCGTGGCCGAGGCAGACGACGAGGTTTCGGCGGTGGGACTCGACAGGAAGAGCTCGTCCTCGCCGCGATTTGCGCCCCCGTTGTTGCTCTGGGCGTCGAAGGAGGCGGCATCATCGCCGCGGTGGAAGCTCGATCGGCGTCCGTAGGGGGCCTGAGGCTGCTGTCCGGGGACAGGGTACTGCGCCGGTGGCACATGGCCGTACCGACGGCCGTCGCTGTTGAAAGACATATCCGAGGAGTCGGCCCGGTTCGGGTCGAGGCGCGCCCTCGAGATTGCGGCCTGGCTGAGGCAGCCCGGGGCGAGGGGCAGAAACGAATTCGGCTGCGCGACGGATTGATTGCCAGACCGATCTAGGGAGAGCGGGCGATGGCGCTGGTCCGAGCAATCGGGATGACGGTGGTGATGTGGTGTGCTCCTCGGGATTCTGTGGTAGGGAGGGGGTCTCGAGTCTGGCACTTCTGGTCTTCTGGCTCACTGGGTCGCTTCTGCGGCCCGCGTCGCTCCAGCCACACTAGAGGGAGGCGCAGGCAACAGACGTAAAAGAGGGGGAGAGCAAAGGTCGGCAAGCCACGCAGGCCAGGGTGTTGTGCGCAATTAAAAGCGATGGGCGCGCACCTGGCCTACCTGGATGAGCCCCTGTGACGACGGCGTTGGAGGGCTGTCTGGCTGCAATAAGGACTCGAGAAGGTTGTCGCTCTTTAGGCGTTGAGGCGCCCAAATGTCGACGCTGGCCCTACGGCGCTTTTGGTTGAACCAGCGTCGCAACAGCGGGTGGATCTCCGGGCGCTGCCTCTACAGGGGTCGCAAGCACTGCCAGTCTCCAGCAGTCTCCGGCACGAGGATGCGAGGATGGCGGGGGGAGTATGCAGGGCTGCTCGCGCATTGCGTGGCGTCGTCGTCGGCGTCCTCCTGATTTTGCACCGACGAGAACTCGTGTGTTCCTGTTTTTCTAGTGTCGGTGTGAGGGAAAAAGGGCAGGGCAGGCCTGATCACCTCATCGGAAATCTGGAATCTGTCAGGCTGAATGCCCTGCGCGCCGTCCCCGCGCCCTGCCACTGCCACCCATCCGTCCAGCCATCCAGCCATGGAACAGCATTATCATGGCGAAACAAAATCCCCAGTCGGGTGAGCGCTAGACCGTGCTTGTAAGAGAGGCCCTCGCACCGTGTCAAGGTCAGATGGCGCATGTCATTTGTCCATTCGCGGCACAAGCGAGTGCCCAACAGGCCAGCCTGCCAGTCCAGGGCCGTGCGCGCCGGTTGATTACAGTGCGACCACAGCTCCATTTCGGCTGCTTGGCCGGCCACGCTGGGAGCCGCTGGAGCATGCGCTTGGCCTTCACTTGGCCTCCACGCCTGCTTCTCACACTCACTGCCACCCACTGCACGATGCTCCCATTGGCGTCATAGCCAGTCGCGACTTCATCTATCAGGTACAGGTTTGCGACGACGTGGACCTATGAGTGCCCTCGACGTTTCTTTACCACGTCAGGCTGGCCGCCATTCGGACTCGTGTAATTTTTATTTCACGTCTTTGCTCCCATTTGTCTCCTCTTTGATGTTTGAATCCCTGCCCTGCATTTGACATAGGGTTCGGTTGGTTTGCTTGACTCTTTCGTCCCGGTTTTTTTTGGCGCGCCGTTCTCTGATAACGACTCAAGGAAGAGCCGGCAGAGAAACACAAGGGCCTGCCTGATATGAGGTGCAGGCCCGTCCTATCTGCCACCGAAAACATACGTAAATAACGGATCTGTGTATCTAGAAATATGTTAGCGAGCCAACATCTCTGCCTCGGTCGATCGAGGCAGAGGCGATTCGATCTCCAGTGAAGCTGTGGCGCAGTGAAGTTGGGCCACCGGGGGACTCGTGGTCATAATCGAGCACAAGCCACAGAAAGACGAAGCAGACAAATTGTCTGTTTTTCACCACCAGGATGCTTGATAGTCGCTGCACACTGGTCCCTATGTCTGCCCCGACCGCTCAACGGCTGTGACATATGCCAAATTCCAAATCTGCCTCTGCCGTCTGCGGATAGCCAACCAGTCCTGACCGGACTCACGGATACCCCTACCTGCGGCCGCTTTTTAAAGTGTGATACGCGTCTTATCCACAGATGTTGAGCTTAGTTGAGATTGGGCTGGTGTTCTGTAACATTACACGGTCGACGATTGCCAGTTCGAGCCAAGTAGAATAAGTCGACCTGCAGAAGGCGACCCTTTGAGGGACTGATCTTTGAGGCCTAATTCTCTTTGGCCGCAATACCAGCAGGCGAGCGCTAAGGCGAGTGCCCAAGCTATTATTATTTGCGCGGCTATGATTGAGGACCGTTGCTGATCCAGCGGCCCTGTGGGAGAGTGGTCTCCAAAATAAAGAGGGAAACAATGGAAGGTAAAAACAAACTCCTTAACACGGGACTTCCGCAAGATGCGGCTAAGGGAGAAGGGAACACAGCCCTACAACGATAGGCGGCCACTCTCTCAAACAAGCCAAGAAAGCCTTGTTTATAATTTTATATCAGAGACACCAAGTATAGCACCAATCGGGACTGACTTGTCCTGCCGAACATCGGCACTGGCACTGGGTATGACGAAATCGCCATTTCATTTGTCAGCGCCCCTCACCTCGCCCTCGGCGCATTGGTGACAAGAGGTTTATGCAACAGCAAAGCTCCCAGCTCCGCAATTGGCAGACAGGGCACAAGAGCACCGTCAGCCGTGCGGTGCTGGAACAGCGGCTCGACACCCCTCCCCCACCTCCCTCTGGGTCTGGCCCTGATGGAAGGTTTTGCTCGGGCTCGGATCTCCGACCTTGGTAGGCCTGAGAAGGTACCTGCCATGGGGTACAGTACCGAGGCAGGTGGTCCCCTCTGCTCGGCTGGTTCGGGTGACGAGGTCCTTTTCTTGCCCCTTCGCTCGTCTTCCAGGACTCCTCCCATTCCCGTCCTCTCGCCCCTCTTATCTACCATCTATCACCACCGACCTGCTTCTTCAAAGCCTCACTTCGAGAACCCAAAGTAAATCACCAAGCCAACCTACCAAACCAACAAAACCCAACCCGTCAAAATGGTCAAGGCCGGTAAGTAGGATGGAAGCCTTTTATACCCCTCTGCATCTCAGCATTTGCCTCGTCGTCTTCACAAATTACCCCGCCATGGACACCCACCTCGGAGCTACCATCCAGGTGCTCGTGCCATGCCAATGCGCTTGATTGAGCACGTTTTCATGGCTGTCACGCACCCACGCACAACCTTGATGGCCGCCCGCCACCCTCACCATCCTCGACTGTGCCGGCCCGGGGCTTAGCGGCTACACCCGCCCTCCCGGACCCTGCGGAATGGTGGCTTCCAGGCCCCGTCGGGCGGGTTCGCGCCATGGATGTTATAACTAACGAGGCCCCCCTTGAGCAGTCGCCGTACTCCGCTCCGACCCCAACGCCACCGTCCAGGTGAGCGGCAGCGTCACCTTCGAGCAGGACTCTGAGTCTGCTCCCACCAAGGTGACGTGGAACTTCAGCGGCAACGACGCCAACGCCAAGCGTGCCTTCCACATCCACACCTTTGGCGACAACACCAACGGCTGCACCTCTGCCGGCCCCCACTGTATGTTTTAGCCACACTTGTCTCCCGTCCTTGACCCCTCGGTCTAACGGTTCATAGTCAACCCCCACAACAAGGAGCACGGCGCCCCTGGCGACGAGAACCGCCACGTGGGTGACCTCGGCAACTTCGAGACGGACGCGCAGGGCAACTCCAGCGGCACCGTCGAGGACAAGCTCATCAAGCTGATCGGCCCGGAGAGCGTCATCGGCCGTACCGTTGTCGTCCACGCCGGCACCGACGACCTCGGCCAGGGCGGCCATGCCGAGAGCAAGAAGACTGGCAACGCCGGCGGCCGCCCGGCCTGCGGTGTCATTGGTATCTGCGCTTAAAATGGAAAGATGAGATACAATAGCGAGGATATGATATGGTGTGGGCTTGGGCAGCACACAAGCCGAGGACTGCTGTTGAATACCACCTACCTTGGGTACTTGCGGTCCTGGCAGGTCTAGATCAGTGATGGTCTGCAGACAGTTATGATCCGGACAATGCCATAGGTCCTGAAGCGTCCAATGGAGCTGTTTCCGGCTTTAACTCGAGTGCTTTTATGATGAGCTTCACCCCTGATGTAGGTGTGAGCAGATTTCTCGCGTGAGATGTGAATTGTTGAATGTAACATGTTTGAATAAGTAAGTGCCTTTGGATCTCACTTAGCGCGAAGAATGGAACAATCAAGACAAGGAACAATCGAGCTGCTACGAAATGGAAGTATGCGAGGCTAAGTCGCTGTGGCGCCCCCAAAAAGTCTGCAGTTCAGATAACGTCATTGGAATCCGCCTTGTCAATTCATCCTGTTGGTTGCCTCTACTGTTTTCCAGGCGTTCAGTCTCTCATACCATTAAACCTCCTAATCCCTTCAGCTCCCTAATTCCTTCCGGCCACCCCTGAGATGTCCTGCCCAAAGGAAAGGTCCAAGTATTTGCAGGGAATGTGAAAGTGCAGCCGCTCGACACAAAAAACCTACCAGGCGGGGCACCTTGGATTCCCTCGAGCTCCACCCCTGTCGGGTGGTCCCTGAAAGAGCTTCCCCACATTCTTCTGCCGCAGAGCTGGGGCGGGTGAACAGCTGTTCTATTCGAGACTGGAAGTGAGCAGACACTTTGGAGGCTGCGGCGGTCAAGCTATACCGTCTGCACTCTGATCTCAGCCCAGCTCCCACAAGCTCTATCGAACCCTCGACACGCACCAAACACAAAACGCAAAAAAAGATCGAGCTCTCTCTGTTCCTTGCCTGCCTCTCCACCCCCAAACCACCCAAACCTGCCTCATTTCCCCATTGCAGGTGCCCGAAAAACCACGCTCCTTGCGGCTCCTTGCATTTCACAGCTGCTCGATGCACGCTTCTGGCCACTGGTACGTGACACACGACACCCTGTCGTCCGCTTTCCTTGGTCTGCCTTGTCCTTTTTGCTTTCTCGGTCGAGCTCTCCTGCTCCATGCCGCTCCCCTTCACTCGTACAATATCCCTCTTGACCTGGGCTTCATGCTGGGCTTGGGGTACTACCTGGGCTGGGTAGCCCAGCATGATACTCGACCTCTTGCCCAGCAGCAGCCGCAGCAGCAGCTTCGTCCATGGGAGCACTGCACGCTACAACAATTGCTGAACGTTGAGGCTGTCATATACCGTTCACTTCACCGCATACCAACCACCGTGCCACCGTACCACCCACCCACACGCACCGCACATGATGTATCATATCATCACCTCTATGGCTTGCGGGAGTCTGCAGGCCAGGCCCAGTTAGCTTTCATTGCCAGCTGTCCATGTACTGTGGCCTCGTATCCACCACTGGCCAACCGGAACTGTTCAAATCGGTGCCCCGCATGGAAGATGCTCTGGTTCGCAGGAACTACAGGTCCGGCTCCGGCCCGCACTCAACTCTGTGCCCACGCCTGCCGGTCTGGTGGCCTGGGAACACCGAGAGCCAGTGCCTGGATACCTAGAGCTGTCTCTATTCCCGGCGGGTAGCATTGGGCTATGCAACCTTTCCAGCAGGACGGGAGTTGCACTTCCTTTCCTCCCCCTTTTCACTAGGAAGACGAGCCCAGCTCCTTCTTGCCTAGCATCGTCATCTTGTGCAGATAGTGCAATTCTGCCAGGCCAACAACATATAAAACTGACCACAAGACACAGATCCCCCTTGCTTCACACTCTTCCTGCTTTCGTCCTTGGGCCTGCTCCCGGTATTGCTCCTCGCCAACATGTCCAAGACTTTCGTGGCCAATGTCAAGTCCGTCTTGAGCGGCGACACCCTTGTGCTCACGAGCCCCAATAACCCGAACCTGGAGCGTACCTTCTCGCTCGCCTTCGTCAGCGCCCCCCGGCTCAGCAAGGACGGTGACGAGGCCTTTGCCTTCCAGTCACGGGAGTTCCTCAGGGAGGCTGCCATCGGAAAGCTCGTGCAATGCAAGGTCCTGTATACAATCCCGAGCTCCGGGCGCGAATACGGCACCGCAATCGTCAAGGCCGGCCCGGAGCTGCCCGACGCGCTCGTTCAGGCTGGCTGGGTCAAGGTCCGTGAGGATGCTGGCAAAAAGGAGGAGGACGAGGAGACCCTGCAGAGACTCGAGGCCCTGCGCGCACTTGAGTCCCAGGCCAGGACCGAGAGCGACGGCCTGTGGGTCGGCTCTGGCGGCCACATCGAGGTTCAGAATGACCTGGGCGGCCCCGACTTCATGAAGGAGTGGAAGGGCAAGACGGTCGACGGCGTCATCGAGCGTGTCTTTAGCGGCGACCGCATCCTTGTCCGCCTGCTGCTTTCGGAGAAGAAGCATTGCCAGGTCATGACGCTCCTGGCCGGCATTCGCACCCCGGCGACCGAGAGGACAGGCCCTAACGGCGTCACCCAGGCCGCCGAGGAGCACGGCGACGAAGCCAAGGCCTTCGTGGAGGCGCGTCTGCTCCAGCGCAAGATCAAGATCGACATGGTGGGGGCTAGCCCGCAGGGCAGCCTGGTCGCCTCCCTCATCCACCCGCGGGGCAACATCGCCGAGTTCCTGCTGGCCGAGGGTCTCGCACGCTGCAACGACTTCCACTCAACCATGCTCGGCGAGCGCATGGCTGCTCTCCGGGCCGCCGAGAAGAAGGCACAGGCGGCCAAGTTGCGGCTGCACAAGCACCACGTTGCCAAGGCTGCCGAGGCCGGTAGCCAAGATGTGACAGTAGCCAAGATCATCGGTGCCGACGCCATCATTGTACGAAACAAGAATGGCGATGAGAGGCGGATCAATATCAGTAGTGTGCGCGGGCCGCGGGCGGCCGAGTCGAACGAGGCGCCGTTCCGTGACGAGGCCAAGGAGTACCTGCGGAAGCGTGTTATCGGCAAGCACGTTCAGCTGACGATCGACGGCTCAAGGCCCGCGGAGGGGGACTTTGAGGCCCGTGATGTCGCGACTGTTGTTCAGGGCGGCAAGAATGTTGGACTTCAGCTCGTTCAGGAGGGCTACGCTTCCGTAATCCGGCACCGAAAGGACGACACGGACCGCGCCCCCAACTATGACGAGCTCCTGGTGGCCCAGGAGACGGCCAAGACTGAGGGCAAGGGCATGTGGTCCGGCAAGGCGCCCAAGGTCAAGCAATACACGGATGCGTCCGAGTCGGTCCAGAGGGCGAGGATCCAGCTCTCAGTCCTCCAGCGACAGAAGAAGGTGCCGGCGATTGTTGACTTTTGCAAGTCAGGCTCGCGCTTCACGATTCTGATTCCGCGCGAGGGGGTCAAGTTGACGCTCGTGCTGGGCGGCATCCGCGCGCCGCGCGCCCCTGGAAGGAACCCGGCACAAGACAAGGGTGAGCCATTCGGGCTGGAGGCGCTCGAGCTCGCCAACAAGCGATGCAATCAGCGCGACTGCGAAGTAGACATCCACGATATGGACAAGGTCGGTGGCTTCATCGGCGACCTGTACATCAACCGCGAAAGCTTTGCCAAGACGCTGGTCGAGGAGGGCCTCGCATCGGTTCACCAGTACTCCGCCGAGAAGTCGGGCAATGCCGCGGAGCTCAACGCGGCCGAGAAGAGGGCCAAGGAGGCCAAGAAGGGCATGTGGCACGACTGGGAGCCCTCGCAGGAGGAGGAGTACGACGGCGGTGTTGCCGAGGCCACATCTGCGCTCGAGTCGGCGACGATCGACAAGAAGCCCGAGGACTACCGCGACATTGTCATCACCAACATTGAGCCCAACGGCAAGCTCAAGATCCAGGAGGTGGGCAAGGGTACGGCGGCGCTAGAGACCATGATGAACGAGTTCAAGAGGTTCCACAACGACCCCAAGAACAACACGGGCGGCAAGGAGAACCCCAAGACGGGCGAGCTGGTGGCGGCCAAGTTCTCGGCAGACGGGCAGTGGTACCGGGCGCGCGTCCGATCCAACGACCGGGCGGCCAAGGTTGCCGAGGTGGTGTACATCGACTACGGTAACAGCGAGAAGCAGCCGTGGGCCAAGCTGCGGGCGCTGGACCAGCCGCAGTTCAGCGTGCAGAAGCTAAAGGCGCAGGCGGCAGACGCCATGCTGTCCTTTGTCGAGCTTCCTGTCAACTCGCCTGACTACGCGCTCGACGCGGTGGACTTTATCGCGCGGGCGACGGAGGGCAAGCGGCTGGTGGGCAGCTTTGACTTTGTCGACTCCAAGGAGAACGTCAGCTACATCACCATCTTCGACCCCGAGGCCGGCAAGGGCAAGCTCCCTGGCGTGGCGGACTCGGTCAACCGCGACGTGGTGCTCAACGGGCACGCCATGGTGCCCCGCAAGCTCAGGGGCTGGGAGCGCAGCAAGGTGTTTGAGTCGACGCTCAAGAGCCTTCGCGAGGCCGAGACCCAGGCCAAGCAGGACAGACTCGGAATGTGGGAGTACGGCGACCTGACTGAGGACTAAGGGACGCTGGGAGGAAGACGCGTCTCCGGTGTTAGCCTAGTCTGGGGGTTTCCTACGCATTTTGTGATATAATTGTCGCTCATTCGGAGCGGGGGTGATTTATACTGGTCATGTTTCTTTTCGCTTTGACACATTGCGGCATACAGAAAAGGTTGGCAAGGGGCATTTGGGGCATTTAGGGCGGTAACAAGCGAAGACAAAAAGGACAGAAAAAAAAGTATAAAAACGAAATAAAAAGTTGAATAAAGCGGGGTCCAAGTGATGATTTATTCGCCATCGTGTTCGTTTTTATACTGCGTCTATTTACCCCTTTTTGTAACCATCTGCCCAGACGTTTCTAACAAGGGCCACAACCTGTGCAGTGCTATAAAATCACACAGGTTTCAACGGTCCCCTAGCTCGGCGGCGTCGGCAGGGCAGGCCACTTGTCCAGCACGACGGGCTCACCGGCGATGGTGAACTCTGCCGTGGCGAGCACGGGCTCGTCGATCTGGACCTTGTAGGTGCCCGGGTACAGGACCGTGTTGCCGTCCTCGTCGTGGCGGGCGATGTCGCCGAGGGTCCAGGCCAGGTCCGCCTCGGCGCTGCCGCCAGCGCGGACCCCCCTGAGGCGGGCGTAGGCGGCCAGCGTCTTGATGGGCCGCGGGCGCGGGCCGTAGTCGCCCGACACAAAGGCCAGCGCCACGTAGTCGCTCGCCCGCCTACCCGTGTTGGCGACGGCCACGCGCAGCGGCGGCAGCGCGCAGCGTTCCGGGTGCGGGTCCCTGCAGGCCTCGAGCAGCGAAGACGTCGTGACGCCGGACGCTGCTGCAAGGGCGGGAGGGACGGTGACGGCGGGCGTGAAGTTTGTGTAGTGCAGGCCGAAGCCAAAGGGCAGGACGGGGGTCGAGTACCAGCGGTAGGTGCGGCCGGGGCGGCTTCCCGAGGCGGACGGGCGCAGGGCCATTTCGGTCATGGGCACGAGGCGCGTGTAGTTTGCCGGGTACTGCGTCACGGGCAGGCGGCCGGCGGGGGACGCGGCGCCCGAGAGCAGCCGCATGACGGCCGGCCCGCCGTCCTGCCCCGGCCAGCTGGCCCACAGGACGGCGCCGACGCCGGCGTTGGCCAGCAGCGGCGTGCCGTCGAGCTGGTCGCCCATCTGCACCACGACCAGCGGCTTGCCGAGCGCCGCGAGCCTCTTGACGAGCGCCAGCTGCGCCCCGGGCCACTCGACGTCCCACCGGTCCTTGTTCTCGCCCGCGGCGGTCTCGTCCAGCCCGCCAAAGTAGACGATGTAGTCGGCGCCCTCGGCGGCGGCCAGCGCGGGCGCCGTCCAGTTGTCGGCGGCGGCGGCGGCGGCGCCCTGCAGGACCGGCCCGCCGGCCGTGACGACGTCGAGCCCCATCTGGCGGGCGGCGTAGGCCGGCGTGCGCAGGTAGGCGGCGGTGCCGCTGTAGCCGCCGCGGAGCTTCTCGGGCGCGTCGGCCCAGAAGCCGATCATGGCCAGCTTTGGCCCCCCCGACGACGACCTCTTCTTGCTCTTGCTGCTGCACTTGGCGCCGAGGGGTAGGGGTAGTGTGCCGTCGTTCTTGAGCATGACGATGCCCTCGACGGCCGACTGCAGCGACAGGTCCTGCGCGGCCGGGGCGTTGACGTCGGCCCAGCTGATGTCGGAGAAGGCGGACGAGTTGCCGTCAAAGTAGCCGACGCGCACGAGGCCCTCGTACAGGCGCAGCAGCGCGCGGTCCATGGTCTCCTCGCGCAGCAGGCCCTGGGCGTAGGCGCCCCGGATGTCCGACGACGGCGTGTACTCGCAGCTCGTGTCGGTGCCGGCCTCGAAGCACATGGCCGTCCCCTCGGCGTTTGTGCGGGCGTACTTGTGGCCCGCCGACACGTCGAGCACGGCCTCGCAGTCGGACGTGACGTAGTTGTTGTGTCCCGTCCAGCCCCAGTGCTTGCGCAGGACCGTGTCGAGCAGGTACGAGTTTGCGCAGCTGGGCACGCCGTTGACGGCGTTGTAGGCGCACATGATGGACCCGACCCTCGAGTCGCGCGCGCACTGCTGGAACGGCATGAGGTAGTACTCGGCCAGGTCCTGGGCCGAGATGCGCGCGTCAAAGTCGTGGCGCGACGTGCCGTTCCAGTCCTCAAAGTCGTTGGCGGCGTAGTGCTTGCACGTCGAGACCACGCGGCGCTCCTTTTCCGGGTGCGGGCCCTCCAGCCCCTTGATCATGGAGGCGGCGTAGCGCTTGATGCGCAGTATGTCCTCGCCGGGCGTCTCGGAGCCGCGGCCCCAGCGCGGGTCCTTGAAGGGGTTCACGTTGGGGGTCCAGTAGTCGAGCCCGGACCAGCGCCCGTTGCCGAAGGCGCGCGACTCGGTCCCGATCACGTCCCCGATCTTCTCGATCAGGGAGTCGTCAAAGGACGCGGCCAGCAGGAGCGGCATGGGGAACGACGTCGACGAGTTGAAGTCGCCCGGCCCGCGCCGGAACTGCGTGCCGGGAGCGTAGGCCACACCATGCAGCGCCTCGCTCCACCAGTTGTACTTGGGCAGGCCGATGCGTGCGGAGCCGTTGGCGTTGCTGTGCGCGTTTTTTCTTTTGTCTTAGCAACCAGCCCCTTTCTCATGTATATATATATGAACATATACCTCAGTACCTACCTCACCAGGTTCGCCATCTTCTCCGTCACGTTCAGCGCCGCCACCAGCGCCGCCGCGCGCTCGCTCGGCGATAGGCTCCGGTCGCACACCTTGTTGGACGCCAGCAGCCCGCCCACGCAGTCCGGGAACGGCTGAAACGGCGCCGACGTGTACTGGGCAGCAGCACCGCCCGCCGCCGCCGCCGCCGTGGCGATCCAGACGTCCTTGACCTTCATGATGGGCCAGCTCAGAACGAGGAGGGAGAGCAGTACCAGGCAGATGACGAGCACTTGCTTCACGACCTGCAAGGTATCACGCAGGTGGCCTCGAGGAGGAAGAGGAGGAGGAGGAGCGTAGTAGAACGCAGAGAAAGAAACAGCCACTCCCTTTCGAGGGTGAGCCCGTTTTTCATTCATCTTGCCGTCCCTCGTCTTTTATCCCCTCGGCTCTTTGGGCTTCGTTAAAAGAGAGCGGCTCACGAAGAGTGGCTTTGTTGATTCGCAATCTTGACTCTCCCCGCAGTCTCGTCCACCGACGTTTTTAGCCGGCACGGCGGGCGGGCAAAACAGAAACCACCGTCCGATTGGGGCGGATCTTTTTTTCGTCTTGTAGAAGGCTATCCCAGCGCCATGCTCTGCCTGCAAATCCTACCATATTGGAAGCCTCTGCCGCTCCCTTCGCTCCATGTCGGATGACCCTCTTCCCCGTCGTCCAGCTCCAACCGGACCGCCGCTAGAGGCCGGCTATTCGCTGCTTCCCCGCTCGCCATGCCCCTCATGAATGGCATGTTGCAGTGCATTTGCCCCTGGGAGGGGAACCCAGCTCTCCGATCCGGATCGGACGGCTATATTGCGCCCTGTTCGTCCTGGCCTCGCGCCCCTGGATGTATAGTATGACACTACGTATGGTATGGGACACCACGCTCCACTAGGAAAACAAACACGGCCCAAATCACCCGACGGGTATTCTAATCTCGACGCGAACCAAACTGGACCAGAACTAGCGACAAAATACCTTCACCAGCCGAAACGTTAACCCAAAAAGAGCCTCCAACATGCCAAACCTCGCTATGCTTCCCCCATCCTCCATCTCAGCACCAACAGTAGTAGCAATTATCCTCCCAGACCATCTTGGCCGTGCTCAGCCCCCCGCGCCACCGGAAGCTTGGGAGCGAGCCGTCCCTCTGCTTGAAGACGACCTTGACGTCATTGGCATAGGCGTTGCTCGTCGCCTTGATGCCCGACGTCGTGGTCTCGTCCGGGTTCCACACGGCCACGGCCCCGAGCCCCTCCTCGGACGCCTCGGCGACGGCAGCACCCAGCAGGGCCCAGATGTGGTCGACCCGCCGAGCCTCCGACTCGGGCCGTATCGTGACGATTCGGAGCACCGTGAGCTGCTCCTTCTTCCAGTCCCGCTCCCAGATGATCCAGCTCTTGCCGTCCGTCGTCGCGGCTCCCCGGCGCTGGACCTCGCGGCCGAAGAGGGTGCGCGCAAAGAAGTCCTCCCGCGCCAGCTGCGTGTCTATCTGCGCGTATGTGGGCGCGAAGGCAAAGTGGGCCTTGCCGTCGGGTTTCTGCCGCCGCATCCGGGCCTTAAGGTCCTCGACATCGAGCTTGCAGAGCTGCTCAAGCTCGTCGCGGCGCTCGATCCACCGTATCTTGACGTCGCAGCACGTGTCCGACTTGAGCTTCCGGCTGCGGCTCAGCAGGTTCAGCCGGGCCTCGCTGTGGGGAAAGACGGTCCAGCCAAGCATGGAATAGTAAGACTTCCCAATGTCGCTGTAAAGCGCCGAACCCGTCGCCCCCTCCCTGTCCATGACCTCCTGCAGCTTATGCAACATCAAGCTGGCCATGCCGAGCCGGCGGTACTTGGGGTTGGTGTAGACGCTGGCTATGCCGTACGCGAGGTGCTCCCCCACCTCTCCGTCGTCCTTGGCCGCCGTGCTGCCGTTGGTGGTGCTTCCATTCAGAGAACTTCCGGACTCACGCACAAAGAGTGTCTTCCGGAAGCTTTCGCAGCTGGCCACAACCTCGAGCGGGTTCCCTTTGAAGTAGAGCGCCCAGAACCTGCATCCACCATCTCTTGCCATCTCGATGCGCGAAAGGGCCTCATTTGACTCCAGGTACTGTTCCTCCGTCAGCGGTTTGGCCCACGTGTCGCTGCTGAGGTGCCAAGAGACCACTCTCTGTTCGGGGGTCGCCTCGGCGAAGACGATATCCGAGGCGGATATCTCCGTCGGGGTCGACGGCGCGTTGTCACCCATGTCGACTTGGGAGCTGTTGATCACTTGAGCTTAATTTTGGCCCTGGGATCGAGTGGAGCGACCCAGGCGTTATTATAACCTGGCTAGGAAAGCGGTGAGCGTCGATTCATGAGGGCGACCGAAGACGGAAGCGGGTGGGCAGCCTCAGATTCTCCGTAATCCGGAAAGGGATACAAATCACGGGGCTGATAGCGTGCTCCAGCCCCCCAGGGTATGTGCTGGACGGTGAGATATCTTGGAGGACAGCAAAAGGGCGCGCTATAGGAGGGGTCTCGCATGTGGACCGCCCCAGATCTCGCTCTCGCGGCATGGCTCGGAATGCTATGCATGCAAGCCCGACTAGGGACTAGGACCTGACGCCAGATGAGATGGCATACTGGCGGGCGCAACAAACCAAAAAAAAAAAAAAGCAAGCAGCAAAACAGAACTGGTATCCGACTTTCCTGGTAGTAGACAGTGCCGACAAAATTGGGATACGGCCATCAGCAGGACACAAAGGAGCAGCGACGCTTACCTTGGGCCGTCGTGTGAATACGGGCTCTGGCGAATAGACAACTAAGCCACGAAGCTTGATGGGACTCGGGACAATGCCAAGGCGAGGCTTGGCAATCCAGCGATGAGGACAGCTTTATCTCGACCAGCCTAGGGCGGTTGGCAGACGGCCCGCCCAACTGTCGAGCTCGTCCCCCGTCAAAAGGGCGCACGGCCGAAGGAGGGGTGCAGTCCGGAGGCGTGCGTTGGCCGTGGCCTGGGATTCGCAGGCAAGCGGCAGCCACCGAATGTCCGTCACCACGATTCCTCCGTGGGGGTCAGCCGGAGCTCTGGTTGGTATCAGCAGCAGCAGCAACAACAACAGGAACCGCACATGCCATGCTCCCCGCTAGCGCCCGCCTCACTCATTCCCACTCATACCCACGCTCGTCTTCGTCCACCCACCATTACGTGACGACTTTAGTGATTCAAAGGTTGTACCAGATATCCACGGACGCCCCATGCATCGCCCGCGGCGACGTGGTGGTTGGTTGGTCAGGTGGGGATCGAGTAAGGTGAGCGAGTCGGCTTGCTTAGGCGGGGCATTGTTCAAGTCTAAGGCCCGCTGAATGACCTCAGCATGCCGCGATCCATCAATCGCCCGCCATCGGAGGTGAAGCCAGTGAGGTAGGGGAGATGAATTGTAATCCGCGAGACTGGAGGGCTATGAGTACAAGTAATTATACGAGTGAAGAAGAAAGTAGCTTTTGGAAAACTGTATCGTTTCCAACCTCCTCCCCTTCTTCTTCTCCTCTTTCTGTTGCCCTCTTTGCTGTTCCCTGCGCGCCCATGTTGGATGAACTCAGAGAGTGCGCAGTGGAAGCGCCTGGAAGACCAATTGACTATTAGAGCATTGTCCCGCCCCGCCTGCTCTCCTGTGGCTTGACCAACCCAACCCGCCACATCCACCACGAAGCGGGGCAAAGACCACCCGACAGGGCAGCAGCCAATTCATTGCCCTAAACAAATTTCGCTCTCGCACCAAACTGACTGGACCTCCAGTCCAGCCGTTGCGACCGCGACCCGAACCTCAGTCAACCCACTCACTACCAAATTCCAGCCGAGCAATTAACGAATGTGAGTTTTCCCTTGATACACTCCGAAATCTCCAGCAACACTCGCCCAACGACCCGGATCGCGCCAGCAACCTCGCCGCGGCCTTCCCAGACCCCGTCCGCTCACTGTCCACTCCTTCCAGATCACCGCCAAAATGGGTGAAGCCTCCGTCGTCGCCTCCAAGTGGCGCCTGGTCGAGGTCGGCCGCGTCCTCCTCATCAACGAGGGCCCCAACGCCGGCAAGCTGGCCACCATCGTCGAGATCATCGACCACAAGCGCGTACGTGCCTCTGAATCCCCTTCCCCCCGGAATCTCCCGTTGCCATGTGCACGCTCTCCCAGGATGGTCTCGGCGCCGCGGCGGCATTCTGTTGGCTACAATTGGATCCAAGGCAAGAGGCGGAACTGTATTTGGCAGACAGAGGCGACAGAAGGAAAAAGCCAGCAACAATGGACTGCCAGCCCTGCCGCCGAAATCGGGGGAGCGTGGCATATGGGATACACAGGCACACACAAACACGCAAGACACGACAGTGCGGTGAATTGACAAGCGACGGTCGTTTCGAATACAGGTTCTGGTCGATGGCCCCTCCTCAGACTCTAGGCTCGCCGTCCCGAGACAAGCAGTTTCGCTGAGCCACGTCCTCCTGTCACAGCACGTGATCGAGAACCTGCCCCGCGGCGCCCGGACAGGAGCCGTCAAGGCTGCGTGGGAGAAGGCCGAGATCGACTCGAAGTGGAAGGCCACCAACTGGGCCAAGAAGCGGGAGCGAAACGAGCTGAGGAGCAACCTGACCGACTTTGACCGCTTCAAGGTCATGCGCCTGCAGAAGCGTGCCCGCTTCGAGGAGCGCAAGTCGCTGGCCAAGGTCAAGGCCTCTGCGTAAAGCACACCAACAACCACCACCGGCTTGGTGCGCTCTTACGACGATCGACTTTGATTTTTCTTGTTTTGCGGCGGCTTTGTTGCGAACTCAATGGGGGCGAGCAGTGGATGATAAAGGGGGCAAGCGGGAGAAGACGGCTGTGGCATCCGGGGCGGTTTATTTCGGCTGCGGACAGCGTCTTCTCTGCAGTGGATTGCATGATCATTTTCCAACGGCATCAGGGCTACTGCGATTCCTTTACTTTTTTCGGGAAGACCATGTAAAGCCACGCATTTCAAAAACGTGGGCGTGGCGCGGCGTAAAAATGAAACGGAAATCCAAAGGCATACATGGGCAACCAGGAGGACGGCGATGATGAGGCCGGGCATGTGATGGCCACAGGCTGAGGTTTTTACCGCCCGGGTGTCTATCTCGGATTTCATCACCTACCGAGACCTAGCTAGCTGGATGGCATCATGGCGGCCGCCGCGATGCCTCGGATAGCGGGGACTTGGACAGGCGAAGGGCATAGAGAGGGAAACCTGGATGGAGGACTGGCTTCGGTAGTGTCTAGCACCGTCGGCGTTCAAAAAATCGAATCATTACTTGGGCACGAATTGACCTCCACTTGTTACCGTTGCTTCAACAAAGCAGACGGGGCGGCTGTGATGCAGCCTCGCCGTCATCGGGATGTCATCTCCAGGCTCTGAGCAGAACCGTCCAGTTTCCGTTTTAGGTTTAGCGCATTGACCACAAGCCCTACCAAGAAGAGTGGGTAGTTTTTTCACTGGGGCCTGAATTGCCCCCCATTGAAGTGTGCGCAACACCAGAAGAAGCCTGCCCGCATTCGAGAGATCCAACATCGCAAAGCAAAGCAAAACATACAGCGGGTGGTTTAGTAAATTTCTTGTGAGTCGAGATCCCTCGCGCCCTGTCTGCGCTTTGCTGTCGCTCCCCGAGTCTCTCTCTGGAAATTTCTGCTTTTGGTAGAGAATCTGTGGACTGGGGAGCTTCCGAGTCGCGCAAGTGTGCGCCCTCGTCTGCAACTTTTGCCCCTCTACACCAATCCAAATTCTAGAGCTGACCGTTGCCCGTCGTTTCCCCCCCCTCCGAACCAGCAGCCTCAGTCAAAATGGCCAACCCACGAGTCGAGGAGCTCCCGGACGAGGAGCCCAAGAAGACCACGGTCGAGGAGCACGACGATGACAGCAGCTCCGACTCGGACGGCGAGGGCGAGACTAGCCTGCCCGCCGGCTCGACCGCCGTCATCCACTCCCGCAACGAGAAGAAGGCCCGCAAGGCCATGGAGAAGCTGCACCTGATCCGCGTCGACGGCATTACCCGCGTCACCCTGCGGCGGCCCAAGAACGTGAGTGGGAGAGCGCCCCGATGAGTGCGGGGTGGGGGATGGTGACGATGCGGCTGGGGTTAAATCATCTCATGCCCAAATCGGGAAGCCTGTCACGGCCCATCCACCAAACCCATCTTCCCCCCCTCGCTCGACAATGCGCAAAAAGCTGCGCATGCGTCCGGGCGGTTCCTGACTTTTTTATATATAGATTCTCTTCGTCATCAACAACCCCGAGGTGTACAAGTCGCCCAACAGCGGCACCTACATGTAAGCTCTTGGGAATTTTTGGTTATCGGCACCATGCATGCACCCACCCTAGTGGCCACGACGCTAACATGCCTGCCATCGTGATAGCGTCTTTGGTGAGGCCAAGATTGAGGACCTGAACGCCTCGGCCCAGGCCGCTGCCGCCCAGCAGCTCGCCCAGCACGGCCACGACCACGACCACGCCAGTGGCGCCCACAGCCACGGCGAGTCCAGCAAGGCCGTCGAGGCCGACGCAAAGAAGGAGGAGGAAGAGGAAGACGATGACGATGAGGAGGTGGACGCGGACGGCATCGAGGACAAGGACATTGAGCTCGTCATGACCCAGGCCGGCGTCTCGCGCACCAAAGCCATCAAAGCGCTGAAGGAGAACGACAACGACATAGTCAACTCCATCATGGCTCTAAGTGTCTGATCCGGGGGCCTAGGGGCGCTGTCGGCCCGTCGCTTTTAGGCGGGCTCAGCGGAAGGACGCGCCTGCGGATGGCGTGCATGACTGTTTGGCGGACAGGGATCGTAGCCCGGTCGGGACAAGGGACGGTGCATGGCGATGCTCGATTTTTGCTACTTGGTCACGAGGTTATAACAACAAAAAGAAGAGAGAGCACATCAGGAACAGAAATGAAACATCTGTCTGGGGTATTTGTTTAAGTGCATATGCGTGATTGAGCTGCTCGCAGGTGCGAACCTCCAGGGGACTTGGGTCGGGATATTTGCCTCAGGACACGGCACATAAGTGCACACTCGCAATAAACCGATGACTGAGGATACGGATAGTGGCAGAATGAGTGAAATACGCCATGGAAGTCAGTGACTTGTGGTCGGCATGTGGCTTGAGGATGCGTTGTTGGCGGCTGGTCACGTGAATCGTCACTCGCTATCCCACGTGATCTGGGCGGATGGAGCCGGGTTGGGGGGGGCTTCCAACTTTGCAGGGAGGAGGTTCGGCGGAAAGGCGACGACCACCAGCCCGCTGAGCGACCTCTTATCCTTTCGACATCTCCACTCCTTCACACCCCCAAAACACCACAACCGCTAAAATGGCCGCAGTAAGTTTCCCTGTTCGATTTGCGTGCTGGCCGGTCGGCCCGGGTCGCCAATGGGTCGCCAATGGCAATCCCGCTGTGGAAACGGAAATGTGCTGGCTGGGGTGTGTGGGCGTGAGCTCGGGCGGGTTTTCTCGATGACGATGCCCTCTCTCTCTCTCCTCCCACCGGGGCCAATTTTCTTGACAGCACGCTGACCCTCCGAAACAGCGAAGCACAGCCCTCAAGATCGACTGGGCGCAGGTCACGACGTCGCTCGGCCTGCGCGGGCAGACGGTGGCGGCGCTGCACGCCTTCAAGAAGCGCAACGACGACGTGCGGCGCAAGGTGCAGCAGCTGTCGGAGCAGCCGACCACGGTCGACTTTGCGTCGTACCGCGCCGTGCTCAAGAACCGCGCCGTCGTGGACGAGATCGAGAAGCGCTTCGCGGCCTTCAAGCCGGCCGCCTACGACGTCTCGCGCCAGCTGAAGGCGATCGACGCCTTCGAGGTCGAGGCCGTCAAGAACGCAGAGGCCACAAAGACCCAGGTCGACCTCGAGCTCAAGGACCTGCAGGCCACGCTCAAGAACATTGAGGAGGCCAGGCCGTTTGACGAGCTCACCGTCGTACGTGCCAGCCGCCAATCTCCTCCTTCGGACATTGCTCGGTGGGAAGGGGGGGAACAGCGGGAATTACGGTTTGCTAATGTGCCTCGCCGCAAACACAGGAAGAGGTCGCCACCGCCGAGCCCTCCATCGACGAAAAGACCTCCAAGCTGGTCTCCAAGGGCCGCTGGACCGTTCCCGGATACAAGGCAAGCTGCATCACTCCCTCCTCCCTCGTCCTCTGTCTACTGCCCAGATGCTGACCCCCGCCGCAGGAGAAATTCGGCGACCTGTCGGTGCTATAAGCAACCCGACCTCGCTCTTCTTCCCCTTGTGTACGCTAGCATTGTAGATAGGCGAATCGAATCCGGCCAGCCCGTTGTAGAAGGTGCAACCATTCACGTTCTGATCTGGCGCCTGTGCATTGGGGAGAAGATGGCAGCGTTATGACCTAACCTAACCTAACCAATCATAACCTAGAAAAAAGTGCGTGCAGAACGTGCGGGTATTATTCATGCCTTCCGTTATTCTCTATACTACATGCATGTACGGGAGGGTTTATTCCAGATGCCGCTTATTAACGCAGAGGGGCGGGGGCTCAGTCGCTGCTGAGAAGCTTCTCGACCGCCCACTTGACGGAAAAGTTCCTCAGGTCCGAGTAGTGCTGACCGACGCCGACAAAGAGAACGGGCACGTTTGTGGCGTGCACGATACTCACCAGGGTGCCGACCATGCTGCCGACCGTGTCGCACTTTGAGATGATGAAGCCGTCCAGAGTGCGTCCGGACCCGAAGGCGGCGTTGAAGTTGCGCGCCTGGGCGACCGAGTCGGTGCCGACAAGGGCCTGTGTGTGAGGAAAGGCAGTGTTAGTCGAGCATGTAGAGGAGGAGGAGGAGGAGGAGAGAGAGCGAGAGAGTTTGGCTCACCTCGCCAACCATGAGAATCTTGTCGGGCTGGGCAAACTTTGCAAACTTCTCGAGCGACGACATTAGGCGCTGGTCGTTGTGCCTCCGCCCCGCCGTGTCGATGAGCACGACGTCGAAGCCCTCGTGCGCCGCGAACGAGACGGCGTCCTTGGCCACGGCGGCCGCGTCCTTGCCGTAGCCCTTTTGGTACAGCTCGACGCGCCCGCCCTCGCGGGCCGTGAGCTCCTTGAGGTTGCGCACGTGCACGGCCAGCTGCTCGACGGCGCCGGACCGGAACGTGTCGCCGGCCGCGATCAGGACCTTGTACTTGTTCTGCAGCAGGAAGAAGCAGATCTTGGACAGGTTGGTCGACTTGCCCACGCCGTTGACGCCCACGATGGACATGACGTAGGGCCGCGCCCGCCGGAGCGACGTGGCCGGCGGCGCCGTGACCGAGTCGATCTCGCGCAGGAGGTCGAGCGACGATGTCGGCGTCAGCATCTTGGTCAGGGACGCCTCCATGGCGGCCTGGACGCGGGTACTTATGCCTAGAGACGATGGATAGGCGAGTTAGGGAAAGCTGGAATAAAAAGAAGGGCAAACACACGATAAACTCACTCTCAAAATTGCCCGTCTTGACCCCCACCAGCTCCTTCTCGACACCCTCGCACAGCCTGACGGCGGCTTCTCGGGCCACGTTCTTCCGTAAAAGATGGTCCTCCATCCCCTTCATAGCCTTGTCCAGGTCCTCCTTGGTCAGGACCTTGCCGCCGATGACGTTCCTGAACAGGCCGCCGATGGTGCTCAGTCCAGACCCCAGGAGCCCGCTCGGGGCGTCCGGCTGAGCGGCGGCGGCGGCAGCGGCCGACTTTGACTTCTCGGCCTCGAGGATCGAGTGCACCTCGTCGCCCAGGTCCTTGAGGATGAACCTGCCCTTGGTGGTGGAGCCCCAGGTGGAGGCGTCCACCTCCTCGACGCCGGTCGAGCGGGGCTCAAAGTCCGAGTCGCTGGCCACGTTGGCGGCCGAGTAGTCGAGCTGGACACCGTCGTCCTCGTCGGCGAGCCCGTCGGCGTCCCACTTGCGGCCCCTCTTGGCCGTCTTGGCCTTGGCGCCGCCCCTCCTCGTGCCGCCGTGCGACGATTCGTCGCCCGACGAGGCGTGCGCGCCCCCCGCGCCGGCGACCTGCGCCTTGCGCGCGCGCCGCGACATCTTGCCTAGGGGCCCGCCGGGCTTGGCGACCAGGAGGTGGCCGGCGGCGCCGCCGCCGCCGGGGGTCGAGGGGCGCGAGGTTATGGGCGTCACGGCAGGGCTCGAGTCGGCCGACTTGTCGTTGCGGAGGGCGGAGCCGCTGGGGGTGCGGCCACCCCGGAAGGTCAGGCCCGGCGGGGCGAGCGGCGGGTCGTCGCCGAGGTTCCCGGACACGAACTCGGTGTCGGGCGGGCGCGGGGCGGCGTCGGCGGGGGCATGCCTCGAGGCGTCCGAGGCGGCGCCCTCGAGCTCCTTGATCTGCTGGTCAAAGTACTCGTCGAAGCCGCGGCACTCGACGAGGGTGGTGTGGGGCCTCGTCAGCTGGTCGCCGTACAGGTTGACGAAGATGGCGCGGATGTTGTCGACGAGGCGGGCGACCCAGGGCAGGTTCAGTAGCGAGCGGTAGACGGCGACGAAGATGAGGCCCAGGTCCTTGGCGAAGGCCCAGCGCAGGGTATGGCTGTCGGTGCGGTAGGGGGCGTTGGCGGCGGCCAGGCTGCTCTCACGGGCGGCGGAGGCGTGCGACGCCTTCTCCTCGATGAAGACGTCGCTGATGAAGCCGTTGATGACGGCGGAGCTGACTGGGGTCAGGGTCCGCGACCAGAGCACGACCCCGGACGTGGTCAGGATCTCGAACGTGTCCAGCATCGAGACGGCGGGTGTGTGTAGGCGGTGGTATCGGTGGTGGTGGCCGTCGTCGTCGGCTACGGGGCCGGTGTCCAGTAAGTGTCCAGCTGCGGATGCGTGCTGCCATTGCGACGGTGATGTGACCTGACCTGGTTCCTGGGACGCGATAAAGGCTTATCGGAGAACGCTGCCCCACACGGGAGCGAGCATGTCACTGTGGCCACATGTGATAGGCGGACGTGGCTGGCGCTGGCGCAATGAAAGTGGCTCGCACGGACGGGGCTGTCAGCCAACTTGAAGCCAGCCCAATGGATTCCACTCTCAGACCCGTCCCTGTAAGCTCTGGAAGGAACAGCTTGCGCCCGCCACCAAACAACCACCATCCAAGGCTTGAGAGACGGGAGAAGCAGAAGCTCTATCTGCCAACTCCTAAACGACAGCCATCCCATATCGCTCCTCTCCTCCCGGCCGTCTATCTCCTGGAATTGCGATCAACCGCCGCTACTTGACCTCGAGACCAACGCGATCCAAATACACGCCCTCACGCCCTCAGATACCCACACACCCAACGATGCAGCGGCCACAGGCTTACGGGCAGTCGCCCCCTCTACACCACCCGGTGCCCCAGCATGTCTCGACTGTGCCGCAGCTCAGGTCACCGCCGCCGCCCGCGGGCTCGTCGGCGTCACAGCACGGCAGTTACGGCAGCAGCCCATACCCCCAACAACAGCAGCAGGGAGGGGGCGCCGGCCCGCAAAACATGTTTGGCCAGTACGGCCAGTTCATGAACGACCCGGCCGCGCACATGGCGGCGCAGCTCGGCTCGACGGCCTTCAAGCAGGGCCAGGAGCTGATTGACCAAAACGTAGGTGGCCCGCCTGGCGAGAGGGAGGGAGAGGAGAGACGAACGACAGGTCTGGTCGGTTGGCGTGGATGCGACTGTCGCTAAAACGGAAATGCGCAAAAACGACAGATAAACCGATACTTCAACGTGCTCGCGCTCAAACACTACTTCAACGTCACCAACTCGTACGTAATAAACAAGCTGTACCTCGTCCTCTTCCCCTGGAGGCACAAGCCGTGGTCGCGCAAGCAGGCCATGGGCCCCGGCGGTCAGGAGGGCTGGTACCTGCCGCCGCGCGACGACGTCAACAGCCCGGACATGTACATCCCCGTCATGTCGCTCGTCACCTACATCCTCCTCTCGACGGCGCTCGCCGGGCTGCGCGGCCAGTTCCAGCCCGAGCTCCTGGGCGCCACGGCCGGCACGGCGCTGATCGTGGTTGCGGTCGAGATCATGATCCTGAAGCTGGGGTGCTACATCATGAACATTTCCAACAACTCACAGCTGCTGGATTTGGTCGCCTACTCGGGCTACAAGTTTGTCGGCGTCATCGTCACGGTCGCCATCGCCGAGATTGTGAATGCCGGCAAGGGCACAGGCGGCTGGACCGGGTGGGGTGTCTTTCTCTACACGTTCCTGGCGAACTCGCTGTTCCTGGTGAGTACATTTTGCGACAAGAAAATCCCAGATGTGGGAACACGCTAACACGCTGCAGATGAGATCACTCAAGTACGTTCTCCTTCCCGAGAATTCGGGCGACAACAGGGTGCAGATCGATACGCGGGCCAAGAGGAACCAGCGCACGCAGTTTCTGTTCTTTTACTCTTACGGCCTCCAGTTCCTCTTTATGTGCATTCTGTCAAGAACTTGAGAGGGAGGGGTACATGGGAACTTGGGTCGAGGAACTCTTTTTTGGACAGACAAGAGCGAGGGTGTGTGGGCGGCTCAAGAGATCGAGTCGCGGTCATGGATCCAAGCATCAGCAGCCCATGCTAGAGGCTGCTTGTATGATGTGGGGGCATGTTTTCCACGCGGCTACCCCTATCTGTAGGAGGGGTTTCTGCCAAACGGTCTGGTAAATATGTCGGGGGCTTTCAAAGTACTGTAGTGGATTGGGAGCGATACTGGGCGGCGCCTTGTTATACAATACCTTTTTTTTTCTCTGGAATCAAACATTGAAGGCCAATCAAGCGTCGGTATCCTGGTACTGCTGGAGATGTCCGCTGCCGACGGCGCAGGTCCGCCGGCCTCGGCCATCGGGGCCCGCCGCGCCCTAACGGGTCTCTTTGGCTGGGCCGGCTGGCTGTAATTCTTTTCTGGTTTCTGTTTTCCCACTCGAACCAGCACATAATCTGCCCTCTGTGTTGTCTGCCGCCTCGCTTTAGCCAGCCTCAGCCAGTCGGCCAAGTATCAGAATCTGACTGCCCAACTTATCTCAAGCCCAACGCCGCCGGACCTGGCTGACGCAGCAAGGAAAGCCGCCAAAATCGCAAAATCGCTAGCATCATTTTCGTCCAGGCTGTCCTTATCGGATGTCCTTTTGTCCCCTCGTCGCATCCTACGCCGTACCGTGTCATTTATAATCCTTGGTTCGAATTGCATCACCCCTCTCAAATTTCATATCAAAACTCTGTGGATTGTTGGTCCTTTGCGCTGCAAACCACAACATCACCGCGCCAAAGAAGAAAAAAGAAAAAAGCTTTTGTAATCTTTCCGATTTCGCACCACCCGAGATGCCCTCCCCTATAATCACGGCGACCATCCAGTCCACGGTGCTAGCCGCCACGTCCAACCTAATTGCGCAGGCGCTCGGGGCCTACAAGAGCAATGTACCGCTCCCCTGTTCTTTTTTTTTCCTTCTTCTTTTTTTTTCCTTCTTCTTTTTTTTGTTTTGTTATCAAGAACCACGACAGACGCTAACCCCCTGACCCGCCAGGAGCCATTCGTGCTAGACTGGGTGCCGCTGTTCCAGTTCGCCCTGTACGCCGTCGTCAGCACGCCGCCCAACTTCTTGTGGCAGGAGCTGCTCGAGCACAGCTTTCCGAGCAGCGGGTCGCCGTCGCCTCCCCCGGCGGCGGCGGCGGCGGCGGCGCCGAACGGCAAGAAGCAGCAGAAGCAGCCGAAGCCCAAGGGCGAGGCCGGCGAGGGCAAGCTCAGCGTCGGCAACACCATGGCCAAGCTGGCGCTGGACCAGACGGTGGGCGCGGCGCTCAACACGGTCATGTTCAGCGTGTTCCTGCACTCGGTACAGGCGGCCATGGCGCACCGCCCAGTGGCGCCCGCCGACAGCTTCGCGTTCCTGGCGGGTGGTTTCAACAAGGCGGTCGACTACTCGGCCGTGCGCTGGGACGACGTGTGGGCGCGGGCGTCGGCCGAGTTCGTGCCGCTGATGGTGGCCAGCTGGCGCCTGTGGCCGCTCGTCAGCCTCATCAACTTTGCCTTTGTGCGGTCCGTGGCCACGCGGAACCTGGTCGGCGGGCTGGCGGGCGTTGGCTGGGGCGTGTACGTGAGCATGTTTGCGGCGGGCCGTTGAGTTGGGAGGAGAGAGAGAGAGAGAGAGAGAAGATGCAAGCGGGCTGGAGATTACAGAACCTTTAGGACGATGACATGAACACTCGTTTGTTTTCTTTTGTCTTTTGATGAGCCTAGAACTAGCTAGACATACATATGCGTACATTCCGATTTATTTCTTGCTTGCTATTTGTGCACCCCATCCTGACCATACCGTCTTGTCTCACAGACACAAGGAGGTTATACCACGTTGTACACTACCATGTGATGGTTGCACACCATTTGGTACAGAAAACCAACCCCATCTCAATGGTCAATCTTGAGCGAAAAGTCGATGTGAGGGACTCCCTGGTGGATGGAGCTTGTTGACATGATGTCGATGTCTGTTCAGGAAAGAGTAAGCAACAGATTAGGCCGCATCAGAAGATGCAAAAAAAAAAAAAAAAAAACTCACGCTCGCAAGAGTACGCAGCAGCATTCTCGGGCGTCAGGCCGCCCGAAACCTCGAGCAAAAACTCCCTCTTGCCCCTCCAGCGGTCCCTGATGCTACGGGCCGCCACCTTGACGCCGTCGGGCGAGAAGTTGTCGAGCATGACCACGTCGGCGCCGGCGCCGATGGCCTCGTCCGCCTCCTCCTCGGACCGCACCTCGACCTCGATCTTGAGGCTGAAACCGGCCGCGGACCTGGCGGCCGCCACGGCGTCGGCGATGGAGCCGCGGCTCCAGACGTGGTTGTCCTTGAGCATGACCATGCTGCTCAGGTCGACGCGGTGCATGTCGGCGCCGCCCGCCAGCATGCCGTACTTCTCCACCAGGCGGAAGCCGGGCGTGGTCTTGCGCGTGCCGGCCACGCGGCCGCGGAAGCCCGCCCGCCGCAGCGCGCCCACCAGCCGCCGTGACGCCGTCGCGACGCCCGAGCAGCGCGCCAGCACGTTGAGCGCCACGCGCTCGCCCAGGAGGATGCCGCGGGCGGGGCCCGACACGGTCGCCACGCGCAGGCGGCCCGACCCGTCGCCCCCGGCGCCGTTGGGATCGAGATGGGCGCCCTCGAGGAAGGACCACTTGACGGCGCAGCCGCACTGGGCAAAGACCTCGTCGACAAAGGGCGCGCCGGCCAGGAAGCCCTCGGCCTTGCAGAGGAGCGTGGCCGTGCTGGCCTTTTCGCCCACGACGAAGCCGCCGATGTCGAACGAGGGCGTGTCCTCGGCCAGCCACGCCGTCACCTGCGTCTTCCACGACGGCGGGAGGAGGTGGGCGGGGTTGCCGTGTACTTCCATCGAGGTCATTTTTGCGGGAGTGTCACCAGGGCTCGCCTCGAGGTGTTGCTATGGGTTTTTTTTTTGTCTTTTTGCTGTTACATGGCGGCTCAGCTGCGATTTCACGCTGATAATAATGTTAGTAGGTTTAAAACATGTTCCCGCGGCTAACTAACAACCCCACCATCGGGTATTCGCGGCGAAAGAAACAGCCTTAAATAAGCAAGCCAGTTTAATACGAAACGCATAGGAGGTTTGCTAGGAAGGGCCGTTTAAAAAGCAACAACAACACCACAGATTCAAAAGAGCGCAAAAGGATAATAGGTACGGCAAGTCTGTTTGTTACTTGAGTATAAAAAAATACAAAAAAATGGTCGATATGCCTATATAGGCGCATCGGGAATTGAGCCCGATGCGGGGGTCGAACCCGCAACCTTGAGATGACCGTAGTCTTAAGAGTCTCACGCTCTACCGATTGAGCTAACCGGGCAATGGCTCCGATACGGGGAATCGAACCCCGGGCTCGGCAGGACTCAGGACTGGAAGTCGGTTGAGAGTGCCGGATGTTAGCCACTACACCATATCGGATGATTTGCTCGTGTGAGTTTTTGTTGGAGGCGGGGACTCGAGAGTAACCTTATATGACTTGATTTTGCGCTGGGGTTTGTGTGGGTGGGGTGGGGATGGAGTAGGGTTTGCGGGTGTTGGTGCTTTGACCCTTGGAGACAAGGTGCGGTGGCACAGATGACTACTAGTACCAGAGGAGTGCCACGGCCATCTACCCGTCTCGGCCCTCAATTGCTCCATCTCCTGCGCGTGGTTACAAAAGGGCTCCTCGCCGTGGGGGTCGAGGCAGAGAGGCCCGACGGCAAAGACTGCCGCGACGCCGGTCCTGTGGCACCTCAGCATCCGCGTCCGCGTCCACGTCCACTTCCAGCTCGAACTTGACGTCCATGTCGGCCTTGACGAACCAGGCCAGGTCCTCGTTCTCGACAAAGCGGCCCATCTCGACGCTCTCCACCCCGTCCTGGGCGCCGTCCTCACCGGGCGCGGCGGTGGGCTCACCGTCCCTGCCGACGAACCTGGTGGCTTTGACGGCAACGCCCTTGTCTAGGAAGGCCGGCAGGATGAGCACGTTGGTATCCCAGCGCCGGACGACGCCCCGCGCCGGGCTGCTGCTGCTGCTGCTGCCGTCGGCGTCCGGGTAGCTCACGACCCACGAGTTGTGGTTGAACGGGTGGTAGTGACCCATCTGGCAGTTGACTTCAGGTATCGCCTTGCCGATGTCGGCAAAAAGGTGTGCGTCTGCAACGACGAGGCACGGTCAGCCAGGCCAGGGGCAAAAAAAAAAAAAAAAAGCTAACAGCCAGCCAGCCAGCCAACCCCCGGTGCAGGCCCTTGAGTTCCGGAGGCTGGTCATGGCCCAGTCCCAAAATGCCTTGTCCGCGCCGAGGTCCCGCATCTTGTCGGCCGACGACCCTCTGCTGGTTCAGCCGTGGCGGAGGAGGTTGATGACGGTGCTCTGCGGCCCTTCAAAGTAGATGTTGCGGTGCTTGGGGTCGGCGACGTCGCCAAAGCCGTCGCCGGCCAGCTCGGCCGTGAAGTACATCTTGGGGCCGCCCTTGTCCGAATCCCTGAGCGTGATGAGTGTGAAGGTCGATGATGTGCTGTTCCACCTAGGCCCGGGATTCTTCTTTGGGTTGATGATGTTTCGCGCTCCCAAGCATCGCCTTGTCGCTGCCCGGACTGAGGGTTTGAACACTGTACTAGAGGTAGGTACTACGCAGGTACGTATATGTCACGATCCGACTCATCAGATGACTCAACGGGAATGTCAGTTTGTGACTTTGCATTCTGTGGTTTTCTGTTGGCGGCCTCATTTTCCTCGGCGTGATACAAAATTGAGTCGAACAATTGAGCCGACAGATGCCAACGTACCCCGTGAGTGCAGCAAGTTGTGGGCCAAATGCAGGCCAAGGCAGGCAGCGGTAGGCAGCAGCAGTGAGTGTCCCCATCGTCGGGCAGAACTAGAAACCCCCATCATCTAAATCATTCCATGTATCCTATCCTATCCTATCCTATCCTATCCTATCCTATCCTATCCTATCCTATCCTATAGCGCACTACTCCGCCCACAGCCCTCACGATATCATGGGCGACCCGCTAAACGACATGGTCAGCGGCTTGCCCGCCAGCCCCAGCGCCGTCGCCGTCCGCTTGAGCTCCCCGTGCGCCGCGCACTGCTCGTCGTAGAAGAGCACGTCCTCCTCGCTCGCGAACTCGGTCTGCGCCGCCACCGTGTACCCCTGCGCCCGCAGGTCCGCGTTGGTCGACGCCCCGGCGCAGAGGTAGAGGAGGTATGGCTTGCCGTCCTTGTTTTTTTTTTTTTGTTTTGTGTTCGTATGTGAGTTTAGGCTGAGGTCAGGCACAAGGGGAGGTGCCGAACCGCACACAATGTTAATAGGTAAGTAGGTAGCTACACACCTTGGACTGCTTCCTCCCCAGTGTCTCGTAGGCATCCAGTAGCTTCTGCTGCGCCTCGGGGTCCGGCAGCTTGAACAGCGTGACGCGGTGGATTCGTGGGGTGGACATGTTGTCCGCGCTCAACTCGTTTGCGATATCTTATACCCCGAGCAACCCTCTGTTAGCCACGCCATGGTGTTATAAACTTGTACTCCACGATATACTCACAGTAGAATATAGATACAGTCCCCCAATGAGTTCTGTATGGCGTTATACCGGGCTCGCCTCGCAGGATCAGCGTTTACCAAGAACACCAAGCAACACCAAGCACGCCCGCAAAAAGCCTCTCCCAAGAGTCCCAAGCCCTCCCCTTTTGAACAAACAAAGCCACGCCCTGGTTGCCCCCATGTCATCTCCCCCCTATTTACTTGTCTGCTCGCCGCACGGATCTAGTGACCTCGATTCATCCATACCTTTCTCTGAGCCTCCCTACGCACGACCTGTGCCAGCCCTGACGCAGAGCCATTCGTCCCAAGATGCACCGAGGGGCGCCGCTCGCCGCGTCGATCAGACGCGCCTCCCCACCCCCTCGCCCGGCGAGAAAGCTGAGCGCGCCTTACTTTTCGACCACCTCCCTCCTCACGCCCTTGGCCACACCCTCCTTGATTCTCAAGGCACCCCTGCACATTGGTTGGCCGGAAATCACCCGAGATACGAGCCACCCCTTGGCAAAACTGGTTGGCGCAAGCACATCTATGGCACAGCGAGCGGACCGAAACGACGCGCGCACGCCTGGAGCCCGCTCGGTCTGTGCCGCCCAGCTCCCCCACCCGGAGCCCCGATGCGGGCCACGAAACCGGCCTTTAATAACGCTAACCTGGAGATGGGCTGGTCAGTCGCCCGCTTGGCGCCGAGAGCAGCAGGGCGCAGCCCCATGGCACGGCCAATAAATCGGAATGTCCAGCCCATGTGTGTGCATGTTGGCGTCGTTGGCGTGCTTCGGCTATCGGCGCTCGGGGCCTTGACAGTTCCGAAGTGTTATCGCAGCGCCCGTGCGGTACTAAAATAAACATATCCAATATCCTTTTGCCCACTTGTCCTTCCACCACTGCCCGATAAAGTGAAATCTAGCTTCAGGTCAGATAGGTATCCGACAGCCACTGACTGTGAGATACAAGAAACAGGAAAAAACAAGCAAGGAGGCTCTATCATGTAGTTCTAGGGAAGTAAAGGAACCAGCCCAGCCACTCCGTAAATGTCATAAGATGTTGGTAGGAGTCTGGTACTCCTGTTAGACGGCTCGGAGATCTCCAAAGGTGATGAACAACGATCTTCTGTGATCTGGGGAAAATCCTATATTGTGCATGAAGAGGAAGGAATCTATCTGCCAGAAGAAGGGCACAGGACTGCCCGTTATATGCACAGGGACGATCACCCAAAGGGTGGTTCCTGCTCTGCCTAAGGCAGATAGTGTTGGCCCGTGCGGGATCCAGAGGATCCCGGAGCCTCCTGTGACAACCTTCCTTTTCCGGATCGCACGCGCACAGAAATACTGTTCCAACATAAGATGAATTTCCCTTGAGGACTCAACCCATCGCCGCCGCCGCTCCCGATTATAAACCCCATGCCCGGCATCTCATGTTGACGCCCAGAGAAAGAAGAAAAACGGTAAAAGTACAACACCAAACACGTGGGTATATATCAGCAAAGGGACAACAAAAAAAACACTCCCGGGCCGGCCGACTGGAATGGGGTAGCGCCAACGTGGGACGGGCATCTCGCCCACTCAAAGCCCACGCCTCCCGAGGTTGTACAAGGACGGCCAGCCGGAACGGTTCATCCTGTCGGCAGTGACGTTGGGGCCAAGGCGGTGCGAGGGAGGACATTGGTTTGCTGCTGTTGTTGTAGTTGCTCCTGCTGCCGCCTTGCATTGGCCAAGGCGCCGACCACCATCTTCATCTTCGTAATGAGCTCCGGCATGCGGTAAGGTTTGACGAGCACGTCGTCGCACCCTGCGACCTTGGCCTCGAGCACCTGTTCCATCCGCGCGTTGGCGCTGACCGCGATGATGGGTATTCGCCCGCCCACGATTTTCCCACGTGCCTCCAGCCCCCGTATCTCGCGCGTGCACGTCAGCCCGTCCATAGTTGGCATTTCCATGTCCATGAGGATAACGCTCAACTCGAACTTCTTCGAAGACGAGGACGACAACGTCGAGACGTTGTTGGCGACCCCGTCGTCCTGAGACTGGAGGGCACAACGGTCGGATAGCCTGAGGATCTCTAGTGCCTCCAGCCCGTGGTTCGCCACCTCCACCCTGTAGCCCCGGTCAAGCAATCCCCGCCTTGTAATCTGCTGGTTGATCAAGTTGTCCTCGACGACGAGAATGCCCGTAATCTTGGGGTCTTCCACAACTGGGGACAAGGGTGAGAGCCCAGCGCCTTTTCGAGCAGTAGCGCCCTCTAGACTAGAGCCGTCGCTCGGATGGCCCGCGGCGCTCGTGTCCAGGCTCAGGGGCTCCAGTTGGAACGCCGCCGACTCCCGCGCCGCTCGACGGGCCTCGCCCAACGCCGCCGCGTCGGGCCGGAAGGTCTTGATGTAGAAAGCAAACGTGGACCCCACCCCCGGTTGTGATGCGACCCCGATCGCCCCATCCTGCATCTCGGTGAGTCGTCGTGAGATGAAGAGCCCCAGCCCTGAGCCGCCGTACTTGACGTGGGTACGTGACGACGCCTGCACGAACCGCTGAAACAATATCTTCTTCTCCTCATCGTTTAGCCCCTCCCCAGTGTCCTTCACCTCGAACATGATGTATATGGGCTCGCCACGTCCCACAATGCTGTTCGTTTCTTGTGCCTCGGGCTGTGTCTCGGTCGCCGCCTCTGTTCCGGGTAGTTTTTCGACTTTGCGTGGGATGAACTGGACCGACGAGGTGGCCTCGTTTGGAGGGCTTTTCGATGCGCTGATGCCCACTGTGACGTTGCTCGTGGGCCCAGAGCCCGTGAACTTGAGCGCGTTGGTGAGCAGGTTGATGAGCACCTGTTTGACTCTGGAGGGGTCGAACTGGAGAAAGTCAATGTTGAGCCTCTGGTACGACTTGTCAACAACCATGCTGAGGTTGATATCCACACGCCTGGCTTCGACCTCAAACATCTTTAGCGCCTCCTGAACAATCTGGACTGGGTCGGCTGTGATGGGCGTCACAACAAGCAGCCTAGAGTCCAGCTTGGACATTGTTAAAATGTCGTCCACAATCCGTTTCTGGTGCTGGGCGCACAGGATGATGGTTTCGGCGTTCTCGATCCCGTTGTTTATGAGTTCGGCAGCATCCGTCACAGGGTGCTCTGTGCCCTTGTCCCTCGGCGAGACCGATCCCATGGTCGAGGTCGGGGGCGGAGTCAACACCCGCTCCAGCTGCTGTACTTTGGCTAGCGACGCGATGACCGCATCTGCGCAGTGTATTATGGCCGACAGCGGATTTCGCATCTCATGGGATGTTATGTCTGTTGTGCTCAAAGTCAGAAGCCCGAAACATGCCGACAAGGAAGTACCGTTGCAGAACTGACCTATGAAGCTTTCTTGCTGGCGCTTGGACTCGATGGCATCTTCCTTGCGCTGTCGCTCTCGCTCGAGCTGCCACTTTTGCATGCTGATATCGGAAAGGCAGCCGGTGAAAGACCGCACGAATCCATCTGAGCTCCGGACCGGCAAAAAGGTCGCCGAGACCCAGCGGGGCGCCACGATCCGCATCGCCTTGTCCTCTGCCGTCCACGGCTTCTTGAATCGCAGCTCGGCCGTCTGCTGCTTGCCCTCGCTGAGGAGGAGTGAGAGCGTCCGCTCGAGCAGCGGAAAGTCTTCGGCCACGACGCATTCGTGGAGAGGCCTGACCACAGGGGCGCCGTCCGAAACGCCGTCCATCACGGCCGCCTGGCCCACACCGCACATCTCGTAGAAGACGCGGTTGGCCCCGATCAGGCGACCTTCCAGATCCATGTCGTACATTCCCACTGTCGCGAACTCAGCCATGCGCTTGAGATTCTCGGCCTCCTGTGCACGTCTCACAGCCTCGTCCGCGACTTTCCTTTGGGCCGTAACGTCGGTCAGGCAGGTCAATATCCGAATCACAGCCCCGTCCGGCGACGGCTCCGCCTTGGCCGAAGCGAGCACATGGCGCTCGTCTGCCGGCACGCCCTCGAGCCTAACCAGATTCAACCCGGTCTTCTCAAAGCTTGGCGACGACGAGCTTGGCGCCGTCGTCTCGTCCAGGGAGGTGTCGCCCTCCCGCTTCCTAACCCGGAACTCAAACGTTACATTCTTCCCGCCACGAACATCCTCGTATGCCCGCACGATGTTCATGCGATCCTCGTCCACGACACGAGCGAGGAAGTCACCCATGGTGACGTAGCCGCCACTCGATTCCGGGCCGGGCGATTCTTTTCTTTCAACCCCTGTGATGCGGAACCACGCATCGTTTGCAAAGGTCACGTTCCCCTGGGCATTCCCAAAGCACATACCAACCGGGGTAAACTGTGCCACGGCCTCGAATCGCCTGATAAACTCGGTTGCCTCCTTGGTTCGCGCATCAAGCTTTTCCTTGAGCATCGCCTTGTCGTACGCCGCTTGCTCTGCCGCGTTCCAACCACGTCGCTCTTCTTCTTGGAGCAGCACAGTCGAGGCCAGAGACGTTGTAAGCTTCTGGTTGAGTAGAGAGATGTACTGGCGATACCCGTTATCGTATGGACGTCGTGGGTTCAACCCCAGGACCAGGAGTCCCATAACGTCCTTTTTTCCGATTCAGCATTTCACATTCAACCTCGACATATTTTGCTGAACCATTACAACCATGCACTCACCTCCTCCTTGGTTGGCCTGATAGGAACCACAAGCGCCTCCTGGCATGGGTCACCAAACCCGCGCCAGTTTAGCCCATCTTGAAGATGCAGGGGAAAGCTGTCGTCCGCTGTGCGAATGGATATTGGCGCAAATTCCCCCATTGTGCGCCTGAATGCCGCCGACAACCCCTCGTCGCTCATCCCGAGGTTGAGCAAGGGTGGGCTGAGGGGGTGGCCGTGGGGAACACCGAGAGAACCTTCCAAGTGGCACATCTTGGTTGAAGCATAGCGATTAGGAACAGGTCCGAGTTCGGCATCGGTCCCCTCGTCAACGGAATAGAGGATGGCGAGCGGTATGTCGAACCGGGGCTCCACAGCCTCGAGCTCCTCCAGCGTCTTCCTCCAGTAAGCCTTGACGTCCCTAGCCGTCACCAGAACCTCTCCCAGGTTGATCAGCATCTTCATGCGCCTCTCCCAAAGCCGCATGGACGTGGTTTCGGTCACCGAGTGCATCAATCCCACAACTTGGTTGTTCTCGGTGATGGGTATTATGGACCACTTTAGGTAGGTCTCGCGCAGCGTCCCATCCGCATTTTCGATGAAGCAGCCAAGGTCCTCGTCGTCAGCAACAGCCCGTTGCTTGAGCGCGCTTTCGCGCATACTATTGCGGAGCCACTCGCGCTTGTCCGGCCAGATTTCATGGGTGGGTTTGCCCAGGACCTGGGGGTGACGGCAGCCACAGAGCCTGCTGAATGCCTCGTTATATATCGTGGTGTGGTCGGGGCCCCAGCTGATGGCAATGGGGCGGGAGTCGACGAGGATCTGGCTGAAGGTTTGGTGCAGGCGCGGAGGCCAAGCTGACATACCACCAAGGGGCGTCGATGCCCAGTCGACATTGTTGATGATGTCGAGAAACGGCTCCTCCTGGTTCGTGACAAACATGGGCACCGTCCACCCGCCGTGAAAAGCCTCGGTCCGAGCTTTTGCCCTGGCACTGCTGATATGGTTTGGCTCAGCGGCAGGCTCCGAGTTGATTCTCCGAAAGTGTGCGTCTGATTGCTTCACCAACGATGCGCGGCCCTGTGTCGGGGAGTAGGGGATCCTCGCACCCTGTGTGAAGTTGCTGGGCGCAGGCTTCTTGGTCTCCTGAGACGGGGACCTTGCCGAGTGCGCCGGTTGCGCGTTTCCGCTGACGACAGCCCATCGTTTCCTCAAGACATGGCGAGTCCAGTAAACACCTCGGAAGGGAAGGGATGAGGAAGCCCCAGGGTTTGGTGCCTGGATCCATTCCCAAAATTCATCGCGGGCCCTAGACGGCGGCCCGGATAAGGCGAAGGCGAGGGAGGCATTGTCGACCAGAGCACCATTACGATATGCAATACATGCTTGCTGTTGAGGCTGAAGTTTGTTGGGCGGCAGGCCGCACCAGTCCAGGTCGAAAACAAAGGATGGCCTCGGGTCCGACTCCAGCAGCTCGACGACACCGATTTCCGCGAGCTGGTTGTGTTCCCCCATTGTTCCCAAGTCCGACGAGGCTTGACCCTCACAAGACAGAGGCGCCTAGCCCCGACAAAGGCGACGACCGAGCAAGCAGAACCGGGAGGATTTCAGCAGGCGATGACATGGGCGGAGAGGAAGGGCGGGCTCCCCTCGGACAGCCCCCTGGGGCGTGTGGGGTGGGGGTTTCGTGCAGCGACGACCAAAAGATGGGGGGCCTGGGGGGCTTTTGGCGATGATGGGGCGCGTGCTGACACCAGTTGTAGAGGATCGATGTATTAGCCTGCCCTTGCTGCAGGCGCAAGCCAAACAAACGGCACGCCAAGTAACGGGCTCGAGCCAAGAAAGGGAATTTCTAAGGCTACGGGAGAGCGCGCAAGTGGGCGACGCTTTCCACTCCGGTGGGTACGCGTGCCAGCAGCGGGGATCTGTTCCAAGGCCCGGAAACAATATGACTTCGCCTAGATCCGAGGTGGCCAAGTTGCTAGTCGCCAAGCGCGGCCGGTGCGATTCAGATGGAGTCTCGCTAGTCGGGTTCGGCTGAGGAGTCCATGGCAGCGCCCGGTTGCGGATCTTCAGCTCCAGTCCAGGGTTCAGGGGCAGTAGGAAGTCGGAGAGAATGAACCGGGACAGGCACATCTGACAGGCAACGAGGGAAAGAAAAGGGGCGAGGGTGCCTCGACCAACGCTCAGGAATGCCGAGGCCTCCCCCCAAGGGCTGGCCTCTCGCACTACGCCCGTAAAACGAAGGGGGAAAGCCAGCTGCGGTCAAAGCCTGCCTTTCCTGACAGCTGTCACATCACCATATGGCATGGACGCAAAAAGGGAAATGCGTGGGTGTGGTTGATTGATGCAGGGGGATGCAAGGGAGCGACGGGAGGAGTGAGCGGAAAAGCGCAGAAAACACTCAGGGAGAGACTGTGCGATATACTGTGGGCTGGGATGATGGGATTTCAGCTGCCAGCATCGAGATCTCGGGTCCAGCCGGAAGAAACCGATGGGGGAAGGCTTGGGCAGGCGGATGGAAATGCCACCACCTGCGGACTATTGAGCGCGGCGCTGGGGTTCTGGGGCCAGCAGCGTGCCAAGGCTGGGTTCCCCGTCGGCCAATTGCAAGGAGCTGATGTGCTGTTGTCAAATGTGCGCCCGCAAAACGGGCAATTTTGGCGCTGATCTCTCTCCTACCTACCCTGCCTCAACTGCCATCTGATCAGTCTTCGCACAGGCATGTTCATTGTTGGCATTGTTGGCAGAGACCAGTGTGGAGTTAAAAGACAGTCTCGAGACCGCATTCTAAAAAGAAATCCAATGGATGTTTATCCGAACAAAGAACAGCCAAATCATCCTTCTGTCGCGGACGTGACGCACTCGAACGCGAACAGTTGGCGCCGTCAGTGCGCCTGAAGGAATAATCATGATGTCACAGTTCACTGCGTCACATCGCGCCCCAGTATTTTCAAGCCCAAGGAACCAACGGGCCCGCCCCCTCCAGCAAGCGTTAAATGAAATGAACGGCATTGTGGTTTTCGCTCTCGATTTCCAAAAGATGCGTTTGGCGGGAGCAATCCACGCGCTGCTCAGCGATTGACACACGCACAAGCGTTGTGTTTGTCTAGAGACAAAAAGTAAATCTACTAGGCCGCAACCGGGGATTGAACCCGGGACCTCTCGCAATTATTGAACTGACCGGACAAGCCGATCCGTCACAACTTAGGGTGTGCCCTAAGCGAGAATCATACCACTAGACCATCGCGGCGGTTGTTGATTGGATGCGACTCAGCAGTCAAGCCCGCAACTATATATCCACACCTGAACCCTGGGCAGCCATGTCAACACTATGCGTGGGCTCTCTTCGATGCCTTCGAGCCAACCCGGCCGGACGAGTTGACATCAGAACACCCAGTGCACTTCAACACCTGCATGGACTTGGAGTGGCCAGTAAACTTGTATGTTACGACCAAGCGATTCGACGCAAATTATAACCATACAGAGTTGCATCGAGCCGGGCGGCTCCTTCGGATAAAACCAAGAGAGAAGAAGAAAAAAAAAAACTCCTAAAAAACGTCCCTTTCGGACCCGTTCCCCCAGTCTATCTCACCAATTTATTTATTCTCCGCACTCAAAACCTCCCCATCACCGACCTGATGCTCCTTGACTGCGCGTGACCACTTGGATGGCAGCTGATCTCGCAACTATCTTGACCTGCTCAGGAATAGCACCAACTATACGACGACAGGTAGTCTTCCCACAGAGGGATACTTGTTAAACACCGAAAAGCAAATACTCCTCACACCCCATGTCCCAGCTGAACAAAGCCAGCGAGCTTTTGACAGTCCTCCCATATCGCAAAATCCATAACCATGATGTGTCCAAAGCACTCGAATGGGCAGTAGCCTCCCGAGCGTAGGATTTCGGGTGATTTGTAAACTTAGTTTGCTGAGGAAGATGATGGTAAAACGCAATTTTCATATGCTCTCGGGGATCTTGATTACTCAGACGATCCACGGAAATTTGGCAGTGTGTGTGACGGTGACTCGAAAAAAGAAAGAAAAACAAGGCAAGCCGGTGTCTCGAGGACTCCAGTCGATGGTCGTACAAGCGCCACCTGCCGTCACGTCGACAGCTGGGAGGTTGGCTGGAAAGTCAGTGCGAGTAATCAAGCAAAGATTAGTCGGGCGTTGCGAATACAATTAGATGACGCCGAGCGATATACAGCGCTGGCAGCTTAGCGGTAGACGCTGCCATAACGAGCGCTGGGAGGCATGCGCGCCATCGACGGACCAACGCCCGGGCCAGGCCTGGTCGCCACGGCAGGGTTGGTGCAGAGCATGCCAACCCTGGAGCCGAACTTGGAGCCTCGGAGTGAGACCATGTGCTTGCGGATGTGCGCCGCCACAGTCTCACGGTGCTGGGGGTTCGCGTGGGTGAGAATGTACTGGATCAGATAGTTGCCGTACTGGTCGCTAGCAATGTCGATGAGGGGGATCCGGGGGCGGTCGATACGTCCCTCACACACTCGGTCGAGATATTTGGTCAGGAACTCGGGGCCGCCAATCTTCAGGCACTTCTCCACGACCTTGGAGGCGAACTGGTCCATGCTGTACTCGGCAGCGTAGCGGATGACATGGTCGACGGCGCGGCTCCGGTCAGCAGGAGCACCGTGCTCGCAGATATGCTGGATACACCAGTTTCCGAATTGTCCATGGGCAACAATATCGATGTTGGCCAGAACCTCCTCGATGCAGGGACGCTGCGAGAAGCGGGGGTTAGTCCGGATATAAGCCATGTAAGGAAATAAGGGAGGAGAGATATGATCCTAGTACCTTGTCGTCCTCGAGACAGTTTTCAAATATGTTCTGGACAACCAAGCTTCCCGTCTCGCCCAGAGCAACCTCATGCCACATGCCCCGCAGAGCCTCGTTGACAAACTTCATGATCTGCGGCGGCGACTCGGTCCAGCGCAGCTCAAAGAGCTTCTGCCAGACATGGCAGGCATAGCGATGGATGACGGTCTCCGGGATGCGCCGAAGCAGTTCGCCAACCATGATGGCCTTGTAGTCCTCGGGGACTGAGTCGAAGGCTTTCTGGACAACGTGGCAGCCGAAGGGATCCATGGAGAGGTTCAACGTGTTTCCACGGATGGCTTCAGCAATCTTGATGACCTGATCCGGAGTCCCATGCTCGAAGCAGCGCTGCACGAGAAAGTTACCGAAACGGTTGACCATGAGTGGATAGGCTTGAGCCACGATGGCCTCGACGATCTCATACTTTTGCTCGGGCGTGCCGACCTTGAGCTTCTGTTGCAGGAAGATGGACGCCTGCTGGTCATTGTTGCAGACGATCTTGTCGACAATGTACTTCCAGTTGCAGTTGACGGTGCGATCCAAAAGACGGCGGTAGTTCAGAGGCTCGGTAGTAGGCAAGTAGGTCTGGCCTTCAGCTGCCACCGGCTGGTAGGGCCACAAAGTCAGTTCTCCCCAGTTCGGAGGGGACGGTCTGTGAAGGCATTTCGGATTCGGAGAGCTGCTACTTACGTCTGGTTTCCAGGTCGCGCCGCTGCCGGATGTGAACTCAGTGGCATGGGGAGACAATGGAGTGCCCACAGGTTGTTGGTGATAAGGCTGGTGCATGCCACCTGGTCCAGAGCTAGGCATGAGGCCCGGCTGTCCGCCATGGAAGGTGGTAGTAGGCTCGTACCGGTTGAAGTTCATATTGTATCCGCCTCCAAAACCGGCGCCGAAAGGTTGGGGCGAACCGTACCGGCTGTCGTAGCGATGGCTGCGACGGCTGGACGCAGGGCGCATTCCAATATCATCATCGGGGACAAAGCGGTCACCATGAAAGCCATCCATGGTGGGCGCGCCGTAAGGGGCGGCACATGTATCGGGAGTGAAGCCTCTACCTCCAGTCCAAGGCGCCGGCTGCGCGGTGTCTGGCAGCGAAGGCGGCTGGGGTTGGAGGAAGCCGTTCTGGAAGGCGGGCTTCGTGGCTGACCAGATACCGCGGGTGCGACCAAAACCCCCCGTGGTAGACATTGTGTCGCTGGTATCCGAGGGAGAATCGTCTTGGGCTTGCCAACCAGCGGGCTCTTGCGGGTAGGTAGCCTTTGAGGCTTTGTTACCATGCATACCTAGAATGCTGGATTTGGCGGCAGCCCCCTCCCCCTGACCTAGGGCGGCTTCCGTGATCTCGGGACCCAGAGATCGCTGTTGATAAAGCTCCTGGTCCAGCCGCGAAATCTCGTTTTTAGCCTTGGCAAGCTCGAGCTTCAGGCGGTGAACCTCCTCGCTGTTGGCGGCGTTGCTATCAGGCGTGGCGCTGGCAGGACGAGTCGCGGGGGTGGTAGCTGTGAAGTTGTCGGTGGCCGGGGTGATGGGCAACGAGCTGCAGGAAGACTGGAGGTCCAGGCTGTGCAAATGAGCGTGCTCGTCGTCGGTGAGCGTCTTGATGGACCCGCTCTGGTCGCTTCCGGGTGACCGCTGCTCGGAGAGTCTCGCCAGCAACTTGTCCATCGGGGACGGCTCAGAGACAGCGGAGGTCTCGTGGTTGATCTTGGTCCTCTGTTATTATCAGCCTAGCTGTTATGGTGGGGGCGGAATGTGAGCATAAGGTGGAGGACTAGGTACCTTGGGCAGACCCTGGTTCAAAAGTTTGGATGTAGTCAGGGCGCTGACGGATTTCTTCAACGTGGCGTGGCCGACGGAACCCTAAACAAACATCATGCTTAGCTTTCTCTGCATAACTGTGGTATACTACTTGCGCCTGCGGAGCTAGTTTGATGAGGACGAGACGCAGGAAAGGTGAATGTGCAGGCCGAGGTGAAGGCGTGGTGAATCGAATCTGAGTCTGGGTGGGATAGTCGGCAGTTCGGGATGGGATGGATGGAGTTGAGGGCGGGGTCAAGGGAATTTAGCGGAAAAGCCTAGACAGCGGAGCAAGTACCTGAAAGAGCTGCTGGATGCTAGTGGAGTCATCGGAGAGCTTGTGGTTCTCGTCGTTAGAGGAGCTCTTGGTCACCGAAGACTGGCGCTGGGACTGAGGGCTGGGCCTCGCCCCGGCGCCGGCGAGAGACATGTTGCTTGAGCCGATGACTGTCCACGGAGCTCACACTAGTCGAGGGCCAGGAGCATTAAGTGCGGGATAATCGTAAATCTCGGATGATATGGCAAAGATGCCTCACAGATCAAGACAAAGGAAAGTGAAGGGTTCCTTGTTGTGGGTGGTGGTGGGAGACCTGTCTGCTTGTTTGGTCTGGTTTGATGCGGGTGGGAAGATGGAGCAGAGAGCAGACGAAATCAGGTTTTGGCCTCTTTTTGGGGATTGGGTTAGAACCTAGAAAGAAGACGGAAGGGAAAAGAAGCCTGCAAATTGGGTCCTTCCACGGCAGCGCCCGGGGAGGTGGGTCAGAGGGAGAGCTTGCCTCGGGGTGAGAGGGCGGGCGGTAGGCAGACGGCGGCGTAGGATGGGTGGCTACCCAGAAACGAAGCGGCCGCGCCTTCTATTTTTGAGCACTCGCCCACTTTGGGTAATGGCAGATGTCGCCCGACGGAGTTGCCAAACTTAGCTGCCTTTCGCGCTAGGTTCATCCTTAGATGCTCTGCCAACCAGGGTCCAAGCATAGAGTGAAGGAATAGAGAAGCCCCGTTCCTATGGCTTGACCCGTCTGGAGAACCTGGGGCGGCAGGAACTATACGGCCGAAGCCCAAACCTTGCCTCCATAAAACTGATGGCTACAGATATTAGCGGGCCGCACCTGCCCAATCGGCAGGGAGGCTTCCACTGTGCCATCAGACGGCAATCCGTAGGAGTCCAGTCTGATGCCGGTTTGCTCAGTCAAGCTCACCGTTTTGGGCGGAAAAGATAATGCCTGCTGGCAGCCTATGCCCAGGCTCACCACCTTCCCTCTCGCAACGTCGCTCTGTCTATCACATATCTACCTAACCGCCACAAGCATCGGTTACAGCAGCCGATATACTTACCTACTGTCTACTTGAGTAGTACCTATGTATGCCAAAGGTCGCGCTCAAGGTCGTTGGTGGGTACCAAGATTCTTGCTCTAGCGTATCGTTGTTTACCCCCAAAGCACAAACCTGACAGGAAATCACCTCTCAAAGGCATCAACCCAGAGCAGCATCATGTTCACAATAACCAATGTTGCCTGGCTTTGATCTCCGTTTGCTCAACGCTTCGACGAAACAGGAGGGATTACTAGGGGACTGTGGGAAAATGCGGGATGTGATTCCAATCTTGCAGCAGACGAGGGCACAGACGCTTGCTCGCCTGGCATCCACTCTCCAACAAGCGGGATGGGAAGTTTGACGCTAGTTCTTAGTCTGGAAAAGCTATCATTTTGCTTGCTGGAGCATGGCTATGCCTGAATATAAATACCGCAAGACTATCTCACGCCTTCCGCAGCCCCGATACTCTACCTCAGGGGCTATATAGACGGCCTGGCAATGTGTCATGATGCTCGGCTCAGGTCACATTTCGGACCCTCAAAGGGGGATTGCGACGTGCACATGAGAACATAGATTGTTGCAGCGTGCAGTGTTACTATTATACAGAACCTGCCCTAGCCTATCGCTTCTTTGCTTTCGGGTCTGTGGGACGAGAACGTTAGCTGTGTGGGAACCGGGGAACCGCAGAAGGGCGAGATGGACATACCAGGAGGCCCTTTCTTTTTCTTGGGGGCACCTTTCCCACGAGTTTTGAGGCTGTGGTAGAACAATGGTTGTTAGTCTGGTGCGTCTCGGGGACGTCTAGGGGGCGCGCGAAAGATGAAGAGGGGTCCCTACGCCTCGACTTGGCGTAGCCGCTCTTTCTCCGGCTCGTTCTCCATCACAAACTCATTTCCAAACTCCTTCCTGATGTCGTTGAAGGTTACGAGACGTCGTGGGTAGTAGTCTACCAGTGCCGGGCCTCGTAGTCTTTGCCGCAAGACCTTGTTGCCGGTGCGAACCCCCTCAGGGTTGAACGTCGTCGCAAAAATTTGGCATCGAGCCTTCCTCCCAGTCAGCTGGGTCGCGGTCTCCTAGGGTATCAAAAGGACGGTCTTACCTGGAGGAGATCCAGCAGACGGGCGCGCGGCACACTCATCTTGATGGCATGGCAGGAACGCGCTGTGGTGGGATGGGTTGGTCGCAGTTCGACAGCGATGCACAAAATTGAAGAAGACCTGTCGTCGCATCAACCCCGATCACCAGCAGCCACCAGGTGGGTCGTCCCTAGCAAAGCTGGCGGTTTTTGGTGGGTCTCATTGGATATGCGGCTTTGCCCCGCTGCCGAGTCGGTTGAGGTCCTGGAACCTGAGACTTTCCGCGCGCCCTCATCGTCCACCTAGGTACCTATCAGTTCAACCACACACCTCCCGCTAGCATACTGATCGCATCTAGTTCAGCGGCATTCTACCAAGGTCATTTTTTCAACGAGGAATACAGAGGGAACAAAATCTCAACATGTCCAAGCACGCCCGCGCAGAGCCTGACGAGGAGGTGGCTCAAGTCATTGCACCCGCGAAGCGGCTCAGGTTGAACGAACGTGCGGGCGCAGCAACACTGATGAACCCCAACCGCCTGCCCGAACCCGACTTGGGTGATGCGATTGATTTTCTCATCGGGCACTCAGACGACCTGGCATACTGCATGGCGACCCTCAAGCAATGGTCAGAGCAGCCCATGCAACCACAGCGTTGCGAAAGTACTCGGGAGTCGGTTGCCGCCCTGTGTCAGCGGTTGGTTCCCGGCGTCCAGGAGCTGGCGTCCCAAGTGGCCAAGAACAAGTCGGCAGGGGAAAATCCCGGCACAGTAGCAGTCTCTGCTCATGTCGCCTTCACAAAATGGACATCGGCAAACATCCCTCTATCACTCCCGCCACTTCCAGAAGTCAAGGATGTATGCGTGGAGCAAGCTGCTCTCAGGCATCCCGAAGCCGTACGCACAAAGGCAATGTCGGTCCAGGAGAATAGTGATCGCCTCGAGTGGCTAGGCGACGCGTATCTGGAGCTATTTGCCACGTGCTTCATCTACGAGACTTTCCCAGACCTGGCACACGGAAAGTGCACGCAGATCCGCGAGAGGCTCATCCGCAATGAGAGCCTTGCCGAGTGGACTCGCGCATACGGCCTCGATAAACGGGCTCAGCTGCCCCCCGATTTCAACAACTTCTCAGCGAACAAAAAAATCAAGTATCTTGGCGACATCTTCGAATCCTATGTTGGTGCTATTGTCATATCTGATCCCGGCTGCGGCGTGGCTCGAGCTGCGAGCTGGCTGAAGGACGTTTGGGCGATGGCAATCGCTCACAAGATTCGGGAGGAGGAAGCGAGACAACGATCGCAACGAGAGAGGAAGGTCAGCACCGGCAAGTGTTCCACAGAAGATGGTACTCAGTTGGTAGCGGGGCCGCCCAAGGTGATCCTCTCGCGCATGCTGGTCGTTCCAGGCGTCAAAATCCAATACGTGGACCTCCCAGGGCCGAAGAAGAAAGATAAGGACAACCACCTTCCTATCTTCAGCGTCGGCGTCAAATTGGATGGTTGGGGCGAGAGCGATGTCTTGCTCGGGAGGGGGTTTGCGTTGTCGAAGAGGGAGGCAGGAGAGAAGGCCGCACAGATGGCACTGGACAACAAGAAACAACTCAAGAAGTACATCGATATGAAGGACGCTTGGATGAAGCAGAGGGGGGTGCATGAGGCCATGCTGGGAGGGAGCCGATAAGCGATTGACCCACAGCCGTCTATTCGACAACCGCTGGCCCTGTTTCTCTGCCTTCTCTCGATGCGTCATCTTTGGTCATATATAGCGGTTGGTTACAAGCGATACGGAGATTCAGGGATTCAAGTATCGGCACGAAGAATATAATTTGGGGGCCGCTACAGGATGCAGCTAACTCTGGCGATTGTATCTCTGCCCGTTTCCAGGTTCCATTCCATTCCCGCTCAGCGTTCGCTTCCCCTCAATTGAGCTATGAACGCCAGGTCGGGGTCAAGAGCCCCACCCCAGGCCAGGGAGAAGCGGGCCCTTCCACGAGCATCAATCAAATCGCCGAGGCATAGACTGCATCCCAGGAACGAGCCGACGTGCCGCCCCAGGTCCCATCAGTTGGGACGCGACAAACACACCCAAGCCTCACCTCGTCGGCCGCCATTTCGTAGAATGATGGACCGCCCACGCTTGACCATTCTGCTGTTACGTGTTGACTCGAGATAGACAAGCTGGGCGTCTCGAGCCTTTTATTACCGGTTTATTCTAATAATCAGTGCCTGACCTCGTTTCTATCCTCTCGTCCTTGCGACATCGCGCGACCAAACGGCCCAATCCGCGTTGTGACTGCGGCCATCGCCGGCCGCGGCTCCCACCTGACCATCCGTGATTTGGATCCCTTCACAAGCCCATGACTGTCGATATGGCCGACTCGGTCGGTATGTTGCGCGATTGCCCTGGGACGTGTTATCTGGCCCAATGCCCGACACAGGACTGACTAGCCCCCTTCTGTATCTCGGCCCAGACCGCGTGTTTGTCCATGCACTCAACACGATCAAAAAGATACCCAAGACGGGGGCCACCCGGCCCCCTCCCGCCGACCGCATGCGCCTTTATGGGCTGTACAAACAGGCCATGGAGGGCGATGTCGACGGCGTGATGGAGCGCCCTACAGCCGCCTCGGGAATCCAGGTCGAGGACCTCCAGCGGGAGAGGGACAAGTTCGACGCGTGGAACCTACAGAAAGGATTGAGTCGCACCGAGGCCAAACGTCGGTACATCGAGGCCCTGATAGACACGATGCACAAATATGCAACTACAGAGTGAGTGGCCCTGCGCCGAGCGTCTATGCGACCAACAGAAAATGTCGGGCGGCTGAGGCTGACTTGCAGCGATATTATCACCTCATAATAGCAATGCTATGGAGCTAGTCGCAGAGCTCGAGTTTGTTTGGAATCAGATCAAAGGAAACACGTCGGCGTCGTCCGAGCCATCGCCCAAAGGACCAGGAGACGAGAGCGGGGCTGCCCGACGCTTCGAGGAGCCCGCGAGCGGAGCCGACGGGCCGATGAAAGTATTGAGCCCGATGAGCGAAGAGGACGAGGCCGAAAAGGACTACCGACGACGGATGGCCGCCGAGGCCGGCGGCGAGGAAGAAGACGAGGACGAAGACGGCGATCAATACGTTAAGCGAGGCGACCGGTGGTCCAAGAAGATGGAGCGCGCCATTGTCCGGCTCTCTACAGAGATAGCGGCTCTCCGGGAACACATCACGACGGGACGCGAGTGGAGATCTCGAAGGAAGCGAAGTTTTGGCGCATGGGTGGCCTGGGCGTTGTGGCTTGCGGCAAAGCACGCCGCGGCCGACCTGTTGCTCCTGGTCCTGGTTCTGATCTGGATGCGGCGGAAAAAAGACCGACGACTCGAGAGCCATATCCGGGAATCATTCAAGATAGCACTAGAGTACATTGGGAGGACACTTCTTCCCTCAAGATGATGCAGCAGCCTATTGGACGGCTCGAATTACGTCTAGGCTACCTAGGGGGACCGCGGATTCGAGGGGATTCGGACACGCCCTAGAAAGCTTCCGGGGCGGCAGACGGACCAGTATGGCGATGGGATGGGAGCGGGGGTCTCCTCGCACGCTGGAGGTGGGAGGAGGCGGCGATGTCAAGAAAGCTCCGAGCTCGGCCCGGCCCGTGACAGCTCTCAAGACCGTCAACAACCGAACTCGAAGGAGACAGGCAGGCAGGCAGACGGACGGATGCGGCATGTCGGTCGAGCCGCCGTCTCTGGTCGTACGCACTGTTTCTCCACCACAACCACTGGTTCTCGAGGGCGGGCGGAGTCACTGACGTGGAAAAAGGAGAAGGCTTGGCAGGCCAGTTGGCCGTTGCTGTCAGCGCCGCCGCATGGGACAGCTCAGCCAATTGGTCCCTGATGGGTAATGTATCTTTGACACCTCACGCACACCCTGGCAATTCTGGATACCCTGGACGCATCTGGATTACTCTGAATTGCGATAGTGGGCGATAGTGGGTGGGGGCCTACTGTGTTTGGCTCTTGGGGGGATGCGGTGAATGCCTCCCGTCCCAATTCAGGGGTATTGTTCTCTCCTTTTACGGGGCCGGGCCTCAATGCTTCCGATTTCGGGTGTGATGGGCCGACTATATTTTGGCCGAACGAGCCGAGAAGTGAACAGCCCGTTGCCGGTGTACCTCGAGCTTTGTGCGAGCATGTTTCGGCACCAGGTTAAAGGGTGGTGGTGGCGGTGGTGGCATTCCCCGGGTCACCAGTGTGTTTTGGCAGATGACCGTTGATACTTCGACACTAGGCGGTCGGGTGTTGATGCTAGAAGATCCCGAAAGCATCCCATCGCCACTCACAGCCATCGGATCAAAACAGGGCGTTTTCTGCCTCCAACCCGACTTGAGGATTCCAGGCAGGTGATGAGCTTTGCACTTTGGGAGCGTTTTTTTTTTTCTGTCTCCGCCTTTGCTCAGCAAGCCCAGCCCAGCCCAGCCCAACCGGCCGCCAAAGCAGGCTGTCTCCGTGGACCTTGCCAACGCGGCCCTTTCGCCCCTTTTCCCTTTTGGCGGAAAACCAAGTGGCCGCGAATCAAATGGGCGCCTTGATTCCACAATCCGTTTGGTGTCCTGCAGCTGGATGGAGTGGAATGTGGTTTCGCGTCGCAGGGGGGTGTGAGTGTGTGGCCTATCAGCCACTCAGCCTATCTGGAAGCTCGGTTTCGATGCGCGCTGGCCTGAGCACCTGAGACGGCAAAGCCGCTAGTGCAGCTCATGCGTGGCGGGCGGTGTGCGCTCGCTGGCTTTTCTGGAGGCTGGCCGCTTTTTTTTTTTTCGCCTGGGCGGGCGTGGCCAGCCGGGGCCCCAACGCACGCGTTCCGACAGGCAGCAAATGGGGGAGGCGTCGCCAATCAAGGTTTGTGGATTGTCGGGAGAACGCCCGATCCGTCGAGTCGGGCATGGTCTCCAAGTATTTTTTTTTCTCCTTCACTTCGACCCCTGTCGCATCGCATCGCACCGCCTACACCTGCCTGCTTGCCTGCCTGCGCGCGCGGGTAGCGTTCGGGGCGGTCTTCATGTCGTGGCAGCCAAAGGATTGCAGGCCCGTCGATTAGGCGGCCAGCCTGTGGGTCATGTCTTGCTAATCGCTCACCCAGTTGCCAACTGGCCGCCCTGGCCGCAGAGACCGTGACTGTTCTGGCTCTGCGCGTCCTGCCTAATGCTAAGGGATGCGTTGCGGGGAGCAGGATGGAGGCAGCCAACCTTTGGGCTGCCCGGCTTTTGGACTCACACTCCCCTCCCACCCCCTTTGGGTTTCCGCGTTCCCCCCTGGGTACCACCCGGGAGGTTCCCCTTGGCTCCCATCCGGCTAGGGGCTCCCCCCAGCACGCGACCTCTCTGCCGGCCATGGAAGCCCTGCCTATCCTTCCTCCAGCCACTTCACTTGTATGTAATCTACTTCACTTAAAGACAGGGCTGGATATGGAGACGCCCAAACAACCAATGGCCCTGCCCAACCCCGGGCCAGGCCGGCCCTGCCCACATAGTATCTGCAATGCCAGCAACTGTCTAGTCCCGGGTGGCCCTCGTTGGTCGGAGCAGCAAATCTCTCTCCGCACCCACGTACACGCCTCTCCATGCTTGACATGTGTCAGGCAGGAAATGAGGTACCTCTGCAGCCATTGGGTCCAGGGCAAGACGTCACCCGCCTTGACGAAGCCGGGGCCTGCTCCCGCACCGCCTATTTTATCCAACGGCGCTCCCCGGCTTTGAGACGAACCTGTGCTAGCCAGTCCCAAGTGTGGCAGGCCATCGCGACCCTTTGTTGACCTTCAGTGCTTGCTTCCACTTGCTGCTCGCTCCCTCTGTCAATCAAGCAAAGCCTCCACTCTCTTCCGTTGTTTGTTGTTGAGACTGTTGCTGCTGCGCGTCTCGCGCCGCCATATCCGCCACTATGTCGCTCAACGTCTACGATCCCTCAATTCCTAGGAAGAAGGTGGCCATCGTCGGCAGCGGCTCGGCGGGCATTGCAACGCTGTGGGCACTGAACCGAACCCACCACGATGTCTACCTCTACGAGGCTGCCGCCCGCCTGGGCGGTCACACCAACACCGTCAGCTTCAAGAACGGCAAATACACCACTCAGGTCGACACGGGCTTCATTGTCATGAACTCAGAGACATACCGTACGCTCTAGCCGCCGCCTACTTGTGATAATCGTTTATTCATTTCCCTTGCTAACATGGCAACCAGCCAACTTCCTCGCGTTCCTCAACAAGGTCGGTGTGGCCACCGCGCCCACGCTGATGACCTTTGGCCTGTCGCGTGACCACGGCCTCTTCGAGTGGGCAGGGTCTAGCCTCGCCACCGTCTTCTGCCAGCCGAAGAACCTCTTCTCATGGCGCATGTGGCGCATGATCTTCGACGTCGTCCGCTTCAACCAGTTCGCGCTCGACCTGCTGAGGGAGGCCAACGCGGCGGCCACGGCCAAGCCCAACGGCTCGGCCAAGGGCAAGACCAACGGCAGGCCCACGTCGTCCGAGTTCCTGGTGGGCACCTTCGGCCCCGAGGAGACCATCGGGCAGTACCTCGAGCGGGAGGGCTACTCGGACGCGTTCCGCGACGACTACCTTATCCCAATGACGGCGGCCGTCTGGAGCACCGGCCCGGACAAGTGCGCGCTCGAGTTCCCCGCCGTGACGCTCGTCAGGTTCCTCTGGAACCACCACCTCATGTCGACCGTCTCCAAGAGGCCCGACTGGCTCACCATTCCCGACGGCTCAAAGTCGTACATCGACGCCGTGATGAAGGGCTTCCCGAGCAACCACGTCTTCCTCAACACGCCCGTCAAGTCGCTGACCAACGACGCGGACGGCAAGGTGCGGCTGCACCTCAACGGCGGCAGGTCGCACGTGTACGACCACGTGGTGCTGGCGACGCACGGCGACCAGGCCTACTCGATAATAAAGGAGTCGGCCACGGACGAGGAGCACGAGATCATGTCGAGCTTCCAGACGTCCAAGAACGTGGCGGTGCTGCACTCGGACCAGTCGCTCATGCCGGCGAACCGCAAGGCCTGGTCGGCCTGGAACTACATGACCGTGTCGGCGCCCGAGGCGGGCCGGCGCAACATCGACAAGGTCTCGCTGACCTACAACATGAACGCGCTCCAGCACATCCCGCGCGAGCACTTCGGCAACGTGCTCGTCACGCTCAACCCGCTGCACGAGCCCGACCCGGCCACGGTGCAGGGGCGGTTCGAGTACGCGCACCCGCTCTTCACGCCCTCGTCCGTGCGGGCCCAGGAGCTGCTGCACCACATCCAGAACCGCCGCGCCGTCAGCTACGCGGGCGCGTGGACAAAGTACGGCTTCCACGAGGATGGCTTCAGCAGCGGCCTCAAGGTGGCCGTAGAGCACCTCGGCGCCAAGCTGCCCATCAAGTTCAAGGACTCGACAAACGCCCGCGGCCAGCAGCCCCGCCTCGGCATGGGCGACCTGGTCGTCAGGGTGTCGGTCCTGGCCGTGCAGGTCGTGGTCATCGACACCCTCCGCGGCATCTCGCGCATGTGGAGCAGGAGGCCCGCCGGCGGTCGCCGCTCCAACGGCGGTGCGTCGGCCAGGAGGAGGAACGTGGTCAAGACCTGCAAGGTTATCTAAGCGAAGCAGCAACAACGACGGTTACGACGATGACAACAACAACAACAACAACAACAACAGAAAAAAAAACGGAGGCGGTGAAGAGGTAAAGGGGGGATGGGTTGTGGAGTTTTGCAGGCATGATCTTGGCGTCAGGTTGTACCGGAATCTTGGGTTTCTTGTTCTTTTCTTGTTTTTTTTTTCCTATACCCCCCGACATTCGTTTGACGAATTTCCTCCCCCTTATTCCCTATGTCTCAACACCCAAATTGGCAAGCATGAGCAGGACGTATATGATAGCATATGATTTTCAAGATTTCAAGATAGCATGATAGAAACTGTCACGGCGTGGGTGCGACTTGACGTCGCCCCACTGAAATGGAGCCCCTGAAGCGACCAGAGCTTTTTGCTGGTAACCACAACCGAAGACCCAAGTTGACCGCCATGAACTCCCTGTCAGCGACTGTGCGCAAGTGCCCCATTTTTGGCGTCAGTCCACCAAACCAACCACCTCTCCACCCGACGATCATCGCTCCACTCGCTTTTTTTCTGGGCGTGTGCACAACAGATCCCACCCCTCGGTTCACGATCGATCGACCCCGGGGCCTCGTGATGACCGCGCCAGTCGCTCCCACACAGCAGGAATCACCGGCAACACAATGAACGTCTTTGCACGGCGCCCCCCCGCGGGGCCGCCGTCCTGCTGGCAGACGGCGACGGCGCAGATGCGAAGGCAGCTGCTGGGGCGCGGGACCGGCGGCGGCCGGCGCGGGCTGTCGGGCGGACCGGGCAGAAAGGCTCGGGCGGAGGACGCCCCCAGCATGGAGCAGATGCGCTCCGTCTACAAGATGAGGAATAGGACGACCATGTAGGTATGTGCCACCCGGGCCGTTTTCTCCGGCTCTCGGCGGCGGTGGTGGTGTTCCGGGACTCGAGCTAAGCCGGCCGGTGTTATGGGAATCCCTAGGAACTACACGCTCAGCATCATTCTGGGCACCGTCGCCTTCTCGTACGGCTCCGTCCCAATGTACAAAATGGTGCGCCCACTCGCCCGACTAGATATACCCCTCCATAGCCCACCTCCTCGAGCCGTTTTCTCCCACCGACCCGAGACGCTGACGGGCCCGACTGGATTTCCCTACCCTAGATATGCCAAACTACCGGATGGGGCGGCCAGCCGATCAAGAGCCCCGCGCACGGCGGCGGCAGTGAGGGTATCTCGTCTCGCCTGCAGCCGGTGACGGGCGCCAAGAGGATACGCGTCACGTTCCACGCCTCGACGTCGGACCAGCTGCCCTGGAAGTTCGTGCCGCAGCAGCGCGAGGTGCGCGTGCTCCCTGGCGAGACGGCGCTGGCCTTTTATACCGCCATCAACAAGAGCGACCAGGACATTATCGGGGTTGCGACGTATTCCGTCACGCCTGCCCAGATTGCGCCATACTTTTCCAAGATCCAATGGTACGGCTTGGCCTTCCATCACTCAGCCCTCTATCACTCGGGCAATTCCCCTTGACGCTAGTGACTGACTGAGGGACCGTTTAAAGCTTCTGTTTCGACGAGCAGCGGCTCCAGGCGGGTGAGGAGGTGGCAATGCCAGTGTTTTTCTACCTCGACCCGGAGCTGTTGAACGACCTCAATATGAAGGGGATAGAAACGGTGACACTCTCCTACACCTTTTTCAGTAAGTACCTGTGTGACCTATCCAGCTGCATGTTTCGATCAGGCCTGACAAAATCGCAGAGGCGAGATATGACGACAATGGAAAGACGCTGGTGATGCCGACTTCTCCCTAGGTTATGGCTCCAACAGAGCCCTCAAAAGCAAGGTGCCGATGGAGAAGTTGTACCGAGTGTAACACTATGATATATAAATTCCAATCTAGGCTCATGTCAACTCGTGCCTGTGGTCTTGATTTAAACACTTGACGTAGCCGGCGCCGGCCGAGAGGTGCTGTGTACCTCTTTGTACCTGCCCTGTGGGGCCACAGCTCCGCGATCCACTTTGGATGCAGCAGCTGCGGATGACGCTACCCCAGCTCCATCCGACAGCGGATTGAGCGCTACATCATGTTGAGCACAAGTGTCGCGACAGCTCGGCAGACACCAGTCCTAGAGGAGCTCTCGGCCGCCGCAATTCCAGACTATCTTGTCTATCTCAACGTCGCCTGGCTGCACCTCTGCTTGAAGCCCTTCTCCTACCTACCACCTACCTCGACTGGCCTCCCCACGCGCATCCGCCACGGCCACACCCCGGCGTGCCTAAACGCCGCACCCCTGTCGCTCCCTCTCTCCCAGACATGTCTTCATAGCGGCCAGCTCGTCAAGAAGTATGAAGGTAGTCCTGCCCGGGAAACCCGCCTCGTCCCACTCGACGGTCTCGACAGGCTTTTGGGCTTCGCGGCGCATAATCGTAAGCACTCCACCTGCCCGCCCTCGCCAACGCGCACGCGCGGCGCCCCTGGCCTGACCCAGAAGCCGTTTGCAGGCCTACATCACTGGCAATGCCTTCGCCATCCTCTCGGACCACCAGACGTTGCTACAGACGGTCTATGACGATGACGAGTCCCCGCTGCGCGCCATCGCGTTCGACGAGGCGTCGGGCAAGATAGCCACCGCCACCGACCGCCATGTCCGGATATACAAGCCCTTTGGGCTGGAGGACGATGCTCTTCGGGTAGGTGACTAGGAGGTGACTAGGATGGCCAGACTGGCGGGATTCCATGTGATGGTGCTGACGGTGCGCCATCGCTCTGAAGTGGGCATTGCAGTCGCTCATTGAGCCATTCTCAGACGACGACTCCTCCCCCTCCTCGACCGCACCCGTATCGCTATCGTGGGGCGCATCAGAGGAGCTGCTAGTTGCGCGCGCATCGCTCAAGCTGTACCAGACCTCATCCACACCCTCGTGCTCGTGGTCCAAGCGACTGGCGGCCCCGGCCAAATGTGCCAGTCTTTCGTACGATTCGGCCTACATCGCCTGCTGCGGCTACAGCGACCGGCTCGTCAAGGTGTGGCGGCGCCTCAGTTTCGGCTCCGACGACGTCTGCTTCGACTTTGCCTATCTCCGCCACCCCGCGCCCGTGACCAGGATACAATGGCGTCAACCCTACGACGTCAACCAGACCATCGAGAATGTGCTCTACACCTTCTGCGCCGATCAGAGCGTCCGCATCTGGTCCGGCTCCGAGTCGCACCACAGCGGTCAGCACCTCCAGCTTTGGGGCACTCTCGACCTGGAGGAGTCCCTCCGGGGCAGACACCCGCAGCGCCCCGACGAGCCGCTTACGCGCTGGGCATTTATAGTGCACGGCAGGGACATATCGGCTGCCGCGGAGACGGCAGTCCAGGAGAGCGCCACGGGTCAGGCGGACGACGACATGGGGCTGCAGCATGTCGTGGAAGTGGCGAACCGCAACCCAGAGCTGTGCATGGTGCTAGACACGGCGGGCGGAATGTCGGCCTGGGCGCTGGAGAACATTGGTAGCAGGACGGCGCAGAGGGCGGGCCGCATCTTCAACGCGGCACATATCTACTCCAAGGACTTTGACTTTGCGCGCAGCCTGTCGCTCCCAGCTGACGCCCACGTCGAGGTGCAAAGCTACTGCAACAAGGCGGGCGGGCACCTCCACCTGCTGCTACACGACTTCCGTGGAACCATCCACGTTTACGAGGCCAACATGGCCGACATGCTCCACCAGGCCTCCACGGCACCCCGCCTGCGCCTAAAGGGCTCTTGGTCAGGGCACTCGACGTCGGTGCAAAAGATTGTGCGGAACTACAGTGGCCATGCCATCGTTTCGAGGACGCGGGACGGCGAGAGCTCCGTCTGGACGCACAAGCTCGGCGCTCGGTCGACATCGCTGTCCCAGCTGGCATTGACCCCGACTAGCGAGCAGGGGCACATCCACCGTATCTGCGTCTTGCGCAAGGGACGTTTTGTCGTCTTCCTACACCATGACTCTATCACCCTTTGGGACTGCCGTCCGCCGGGCCCACCGGGCCTTCTCGGCCGGTGCACCTACAGTGTTGGTGGAAAGCCCCTTTGCCTCCTGATACTGCCTCGCCAGCGGCCTGGGGACTCGTCAGTAGCGCATGTCGCTACTATAACGTCGGAGAAGCAGGGGATAGTTTGGACCATGAGCCTTCCGCTGTACGCGGTAGGCGGCGGCCAAGCACCGCCGGTCAACGGCCACGGCAGTGCGCGACCAGCCGTGACGGAATTCTGCCGTTTCAGTCTGCAAGGGACCGAGGATCTGGCCTATGTCTTGCCTGTAGACCCGGCCGGATCCTCCCCGGTGATATCTGGGTTCCTCGATGTGTTTGCGCGGGACGTGGCTGTGTCGTACACGCGCGAGGGGCGGGTTGATTTCCTGACGGCCCGTGTCGATCCAGAGCAGAAGCGCGTGGAGTGGCTGACGACGTGTTCGATGGAGACTGGGCTTGTCGAGCCCTCGCTTGTTAGCGGCAGCACCCTGAAGAGGGCGGCTCTTGTCAACTCGTCCAGGTCGGCCGTCACCATCTGGGACATACGGGGCGCCAGGCTGGAGTACACACAAGACTTTGAGAGCCAGAACTCCATCAACGATCTGGACTGGACGTCGACGCCCGACTCTCAGTCAGTGCTAGCCGTGGGCTTCCCGCACCGCATCCTCCTGCTCTCGCAGCTGCGGTTCGACTACCTTAATAAGGGCCCTGCCTGGGCGCCAGTGCGCGAGATCAGCATCCGCGACATGACGCCGCACCCCATCGGCGACTCAACGTGGCTAGGCGACGGCCACCTGGTCATCGGCGCGGGAAACCAGCTCTTTGTGCACGACAGGCAGTTCGACCCGGCCAGCTCTCTCATCACCAGCCTGCGCCTCCCGCACCGCAAGGACGGCAGCCTCGATTTGTTCGATGTTGTGAGGCGGCTGAACGGGCCCCTGCCCGTCTTCCACCCCCAGTTTCTCAGCCAGTGCATGCTCGCGGGCAAGACCACGCTGGTGCATCGTATCCTGACGTCGCTGGACACGACGCTCAAATACTGGGTTGAGGGCGAGACTATAGATGACTATCTGGGGCTAGACATGGAGTTCTTTTATGGCGCGCAGAGCCCGACGCACGACTACAAGTCAGACCCGAACTCGAGCACATTTTTCGCGCCAGGGTCAATGCATGACGCGGTTGGTGAAGAGTTCAACGAGCAGGTGGCCGACTCGATCAACTCGAGACTCACAAAGGTGGCGCTGCCGCAGCTCTCGGGCCACGAGCAGATCCAGCTGGTGGACATTGTCGAGTGCGCGGGCCTCGTCGAGACGCAGCGGCGGTCCATGGACGACAACGGGGCGCGGTACATGCTCTTCTACCGGCAGCACGCGCTGCGCAAGGGCAGGACCAGCGAGATCCACATGTCGTGGCGCGAGATCAACTGGGCGCACCACTCGACCAGCCAGGACATACTGGTGGACTTTGTGACGCGGCAGAACCACGGGTCGCTGCGGTGGGAGAGCGCGCGCGAGAGCGGCATGTTCATGTGGCTGTCGGACGCGGCGGCGGTGCGGCGGCAGTTCGAGGTGGTGGCGCGCAACGAGTACACGGGCAGCGAGGACAAGAACCCCGTCGACTGCAGCCTCTTCTACCTGGCGCTGCGCAAGAAGGCGGTGCTGCAGGGCCTATGGCGCATGGCGAGCTGGAACCGCGAGCAGGCCGCGACGCAGCGGCTGCTGGCAAACAACTTTGACGACCCCAGGTGGCGCACGGCCGCGCTCAAGAACGCCTACGCCCTCATGAGCAAGCGCCGGTTCGGCTACGCCGCCGCCTTTTTTCTGCTGGCGGACCACCTGCAGGACGCGGTCAACGTGTGCCTCAACCAGATCAAGGACGTGCAGCTCGCCGTCGCCATCGCGCGCGTCTACGAGGGCGACGACGGCGGGCCCGTCCTGCGAAGGCTGCTCGAGGAGGAGGTCCTGGCCATCGCGGCCCAGGAGGGGAACCGATGGCTGGCCTCGTGGGCGTTTTGGATGCTGCGCCGGAGGGACATGGCTGTGCGGGCCTTGATTGTTTGTATTCCTCTCTCTCTCTCTC